ATAGTAACCAGAGGTACTATGATATATCGGGATTTCTAACTAGAGTCTATTTTTTATTTCTTCCTAAAATAGTTTATTTAAATGTCCTCCTCGGAGGGTTAAATATTTTCATTAAATTCTATAACCTTTATTTAATAATTTTATTAATACTCTAAAATTAACCCCACTAAATTTTATTAAATTCCTCATTCAAAAATTAATTTATTAGAATCGGGGTTCTGATGATAAAAATATAAATGGCCTCCGCAGAGGATAGATCACTTAAAAATTAACCCCCTTATATTTTATAAAATCTTCATTCAAATATTAATTTATTATTCAAAATGGGGGTTACTGAGGAAAGAATAATTTGCTAGTTTATTTTTCTATTATTATAATTTTTTTTATTTATATGATTTTCCTCTTAAAAATAAATTTAATAGGCCTCCGCAGAGGATAGATCACTCTTAAAATTACCCCCTAATGTTTTATAAAATCTTCATTCAAAAATTAATTAATGTCAAAATGGGGGACCTAGGATTTTGAGCGCAAATATAAAAATTATTCATTCAAAAATTAATCATTTAATAAAATCGAACCGCGGATTTTGAGGCCAAATAATAAATCTAAATCCCATCTTTTAAAAATTCCCCAACCTATTCCTAACTCAAAATTTTCTCGGCAAAAGGTGAGGAACCATCCGGTGCTACCAGTAAAGCGGTTGGTCCCGTTCCCCAGTGCCTCGTTGTTTAGTTGTTGCTATAGGCAGAGTCGCGCATGCTTGCAATCATGTGTGAACTCCGCAGAGTATAGAAATAGGTGAATCGCACGCAGTGGGGGAATGTAGGGAGAGCTCTTCCCTACAAGGATGGATTGGCCGGCCGGCAACTCTGTTGAATGAATGAAGAAGTGATCTGCCTTTGCCTATTCCATTAAAGCTTATAAGCACCAGCTTACTTCCTTATTGCTTTCCCAAGGATAAGTTTGTGGCGATGTTAAGCTTAGATAATAGGCGGCTAATAATTCTCTGGGAATGGACGTTTGTTCGTTCTTTGCCTTTTCTCTGGGAACTTCCGTTACTTAACGCAAAGTTTATAGCGACATTATAGTTCACGTGATTCCAGGATGATATCCGCCTTACAATATGAGCTTTTGCCCAGTTTATGCATCCAACCTTTATACGTTGAATAAAAAGTTTATATGTCAACCAACATTTTTTGTGTCCATTCAATTGCAATAAGACTAAAATGAAAATAGACTAAAATGAAAAACTTGGACGCATAATCTGGACAAAAGCCTTAATGTAAAATGCTTTTTAAAAACATTGATTATAATACTTTCTGAAATTGGAATATGTAATAATTATTTTTAAATATTTTAACAAAAAAATTGACCAAAAAACTTTTCTTCAAGAATTAAAAAAATAACATTTCAATCTTATTTAGAAATAGTAGCTTTTACTTTTGTTGGATCCATATATTTGACAATTTATTAATTATTTTTCAAATATTATTTTCAAATGTTTTTGCCCCAAAATATGTTGTAAATGTTTGTTATCTATTCCCCATTTTAAATATTCAAAACATTCCCTCAAAACAAACATTTACTTTGACCCTAAACTTCCTTTCATTTATTTTAAATAATTTATTTTCTTATCTATGTTTTACAACTTTCTCGTCTGACCTACTTCCGCCCATTTCCTTACCCTATAAATACTAATTTATCTTTTACCTTTCAAGCTCGTCTTGATCACACTTGCTCCCAAACCAAACCCAAACTTATTAAAATAAACTTTATTAAACTTGTATAATTATTTGAGTATTATTTGAGTTAGACTTATTGGTATTTGAAAGAATATATTAAATATTATTTAAATAGAAGAACCGGGACATAATAACTTTGTTTTGAATAATGTTGAATAAAATAATAATTTTTAATTTACGGTCATCTTGTAAGAGAAATATTTTAAAAAACTCCTCTACTTTTCATCATCCTGAGGAGTAAAATTTAAATCTAAAAAACATTTAAATTATAATATTTAATTTCAAAAAACCTTACCAATAATATCATCTCGACCTCCACTTTGTTCTTTTTCGGATAAATTTTCTATATTATCAGGTAATTCATTTAAATCTGAGATTAATTTTGAATATTTTAATTTCTAGTTCTTTTAGAACTTAGGCAGAAATTAAGTAAAGGATAAAATTGAAGGCATTTTACCCGTGTTTAAATTTTTATAATTATGTAAATGAATGAAATTAACTAAATAAATTTCATTAATAACCTGGTACTTTGTAGGGTTTAGTACTTTCTACAATTTTTTGATTTGAATGAACATTGCTTTGATTGCCCGACAAAATAGAGTTTCGAAATTTTTTTGACTCTTCAATACTATATATTTTGAATTGTTGAACAAAAATAGGGTCTGACCACAGTTTATTTATGTTATTATTATTTGAAGATGATGCTTCTCCTTAATATTTACAAAATGTTACTATATTTTATAAAAAAGAATAATAAAAATTATAAGACAACAGAAACAACTTGCCTACAATCATTTTATTATTTTTGACTTCATCTTCTTTTAAAAAGAGTTTTTTAACTTGATTAAACATATCCTTATAACTCTTTATATCTTTATATTTTAAAGAAGTAGGTAAATTTAATAAATATTGAATAATATTTATTTGCAATATTTGCTGCCATTTTTCAAATTTAAATTTTATTTTATTTAAATAATAATTTTCCAAAAAAATAATTTTATCTAAAATTAATATAAACAATTTATTGACGTCATTAAATCCATTCTCCGCCATTTTTTGGTATGTTAAATCAGTTTTTAATAAATCGGGATTTATTTGGAGTAAATCCATTTTACAATGTTGAGCTTGGTCAAGTTTTTCTATTTGTATTGTATAAAGTATTGCTTCGTCAGTATTGTGGGGCTTGGGTTTGGGACATTTTGAATAAAGTTTCTAAAATTGATTTTTAATACAAGAAATTGTAAAAATGAAAATTAAATTTTTAATTTTGAAGTAATTTATTTAATTTTCAGAATTACTTTTTAGCTTTCAAATTTTAATCGGAACACAAGAATTTAAAAACCCTGAGACTGAAAAAGAGGAAAATTTGACATAAGAAATTAAGCTGATTTTCAATTAAAATTTACCAATACTTTTGCTAGTACATATGTGACTAACAAAATTATGTATTAGTTATTTAATTGAAAGGTTAGCAATTTAATGAAAATAAAAAATATTTATTTTAATATTTAATATTAATTTTATGGGTACGGCTCAAGTAGGCACAAAGCCATAACCTGTTTCAAGATTTCCGAATCTTTCAAAATTTAGTATTAAACGATTCTCATTGAGCGTACCAAAATTGTTTCCAGAAAGTTTCCAGCTAGTTATGATTCTGCGCGTACTTGGGGTGTCCCTAGCTTTATAAATAAATAATTACCTTATCATGGAACATTTTTATACCAACAATATATTTATGTTTAGGACATAATTCTCCTTTGTAAAAATTAGTAGCTAAAGAATTTGGAATAAAATTTATTTTTAATTTATTTTCTGAATTCTTTTTACATTCAATACTTATTTCATTTTTATTTTCTAAACCTTTATTTAAAACTTCTATTTTAAATTGTATAATAAGCTTGTTATTAGCATTGAGAAAATTAAAAGAAGTAAGAAACAAAATGAAAATAAATAAAAGCATTGTTTTAAATATTTTTTTAAATTTAATTTTAAATATTTCCTTAAAATAAATTAATTTTTAAATTAAAGAATTATGAAATGTAATGCCTCACATTTAATAGATTGATTGATGTCGAAAAGCGGCATTATTTTTTAAGAGTCATATTTTTTAAAGCAGTATAATTAAAAAAGTGCAAATTTAAAATAAAAGACACAAGACAATTCATTGACGTTAAAAGTACATAGAGTGCGTCCGAATCGAGCGAGTTCGAGTTACTCGACTCGATCGCTCGGGGTTTTTCTTATTAATCGAGCTCGGAACTCGGAATCAGACTCCGTTAAAACATTGTATTTTGATGTCTCTAACTTTTTGTTTCGTTATCGTTCCATCCATTACCCATTATTTCGGAGGCACAAAAAACACTTTTTCGAAGTTAGGTGAAAAATTTAAAACAAATTTTTTGCTTTGATTTTCATTCAATCATACATACGTTAATTAACATCTCGTCAGCTAAGTCAGTAGAGGTTGGAGTCATCTTATCAAGATTTAATTGCTGCTTTTCTAATTTAAATTTTAAGCTAAAATATAAAAAGAAAATATTCTTTTTAATTAATTTAGAAATATTTCAGATGATTCATTCAATCAACTATTTCATTATTCTCGACACATACATATGAACAAATATATACTCAACCACAATATTAGTAATGATAAAACCCTCAAAATGATTCATCAAGCAAGAGTCATTTATTGTAAATAGAATAATAAAAGCAGAGAACGTTGCTTTAGTCAATAAGGCCAAAAACCAAGGCAAATAAAACAAACAAACAACCACCCGCTTTTTTTGAATTTTATTTATCATACATAAGTATGTATGTTTATATTCTCGGCCATTTCTCTTTACTATACTATTTATTTTTTAAAATAAATATAAAAATATTATTATCAATTTTTTGCAAATATGTGAAAGATAAATTTTCTTAACTTTTCATTTCCGTAATATTTAAATAATTTTTAAATAAAATATATAAAAATTCGTTATTTTGTCAATATTTTATCAAAAAATAAATTTATTCAGTTACTTTATCGTTAAAAATAAATTCCTAAATATTTTTATCTCGTTAAACGACACACCTTTCTTTATTAAAAATTTTATATATTTTCCTCCTTCTCAAGAATTATATTTCTTGATGATTCATTTATAAAATTTTAATATTTTTCTTTAAATTTTATAAAAAAAAATTTTTAAATTTACAAATATTTTATTTTAATTTTTTTTTAATTTAGAAATTAATTTAATAAATATTTATTAGAAAAATAAAATGAATACTGTTGAAGGACCTGTAAGTATTCTAATAATGTAATTAAGAACTTCTAAATATTGTAAAATCATATCTGTTAATATCTAAATTAATAAAAAAAATTTTAGTAAAATATTTCTTTCTAGTCCCTACAATTAATTTTCCTATATATTTTTTTCAATTTTAGCCAATTCCTTTCAACTTTCCAATCCCTGGAGGTCTACAAACTGGATCGGAAATAATTTTTCATGGAGCTACATACAATGGAGAACGAAAACGTTTTCATATTAATTTATTGGGTGAAGGGGACAATGTTGTTTTACATTTCAATCCTCGATTTAAATTTCTTGAAGTTAACATTTTTTAATCGAAAAATTAAAATTTTAAAATGTAAATTTAAAGGATACAATTGTTTTAAATAGCAAAACATATGCTGGTTGGGGTACAGAGGATAGACATCGAAATCGTTTAAGTCTTGGAGATAGTTTTCGTATTCGTTTGGTTTGCCATCATTCTCATTTTCTTATTCAAGTTATTTTTTTAAAGAAATTATTATAATGAAAAGATAAATTTATTTAAAGGTAAATGATAAAGAAGTGGCTAATTATGAGCATAGACTTAGTCCTTCAATGGTTAGAGGACTTGAAGTAGATGGTGATATTTCTCTTCAGCGTGTTCAGATGATTAACTTTCCACGACGTAATTTATTTTTTGATGTGTTTGGGGTTTGAGAAAAGATGAAATTTCTCTTGGGATTAACATTTAGATGTCCGGATTCATTTAGAAGATTAGTAAAAAGTTCAAAAATAAAAAACTAGTATATAACTACAAATAATCAATTTAATTTTAAGCACCAAACCCAAACCCACAATATCCATATCCTTCACCATATCCACAACCACAATATCCACCACCAGCAGCTCCATACGATCCATTAATGAGTACAAGTAATCCAATGCCTACAAATATGCCCCCAATGCCACCAAATGCTGGATGGAATCCACAACAAAGTTCTCCATATCCAAACCAACAGAATTTGAGCCCTTATCCAAATAATAATGTAAAATTTTAAATTAAAAAATATGTATAATATGAATAATAAATGGATATATATTTAATAAATTGAAGCCATCTTTTGGAAATTTTATTTGGGTTTCTATTAAAATATATATTATAGAGAAAAAATATTATGTATAATATTATAGCATTTTTAGAAAAATAACTAGTAGTTTCGGTTCAAAAATGAGAAATAATCGAATCGAGCTAAGCTATAAAAATAATGAATAAATAATTACATAAATATTAATATTTTCTATCATTTTATAATTTAGTTACGAGGGCCTGGTTATCCTTATTGACCAACAAGTACACGTTGCAATTCTTTTGGATGTCATCGTTGTGGATATTAAAGATAATATGAATTTATTTGGAAAGAAAATAAAAGTTAAAATGTTAAAAATAATAAAAACTGTAATTATGTTTTTACGTAATAGATAAACTTTTTCAAACCATGTGGAATTATTTTAAGTTTTTAAAAATCAAATCAAACTAATTTCTGGGCTAGGTTTATTTTAGAACAAAAAATTAAGGTTAAAAAATTAAATATTTTTATTTCATCATCACATCTCTTTCAATAAAGTTTGTCCAATTTAATAATATAATCAAATTTTGGATTTTGTTTAACCCCTCGAACCTTTTAAAAATTAATTTAATTTATAAATTATTTAAAAAAACAAACAGTTATATACTGAACATCCTGTGCCGGCATTTGATGTTCATAAAAATACCAAATTCCACCAATTTTATATCTCCAAATATATTTTGCTGTTCTAACAAGAATATTTAAATTAAATTCTTCTCCAACATTTAAGTTCGGGAATTCATGGTTATGCCAACATTTATTATCAAGTGTCTTGTTTTGTGATATTTTATTACAATTTGGAGGCAACCATTGTTTATTCTATTTTAAATATATTAAAATATTTTGATCATATATTAAAATATGCGGGAATTGAAAAAAATATGGGGAATTAAAGATCTGTTTGTTTGGGTCCGGGGGAGTGTCAGTCATTTAACAATTAAGCTTACTGAATATGATCCAACAGTTGCATTCTCTTGCGTAATGTTAAGTTGAAATATAGTTTGTCCAACTTTATAAATATTTAAACTTTACAATATTTAAATTAACAACTAACTAAATTCATGCCATTCAAGTGCTTGATGTAAAAAACTAATGGAAATAGTTTTATTAATTATTATTCCTTCAATAAATATTAAACTTCCATCTCTCAAATAATTATTGTCTGGGACGTGAATAATATTTAAGGGATATTTAAAAGAACTCAATAATCTTTTGCATTTTTCATTTTCTTCTCCAAATTGTATTTGGTCAATATCTCCTTTTATCTTTAGAGTTAATTAATTATAAAATATTTCTAAAAAAACTTGCCATAATCCATTCAGTTGCCCAAACTGGAAGTCTATGTTTATATAAAATTTTAGCTGCAGCCTGGTTTATTGTTATATTAAAATAATTTTTTGTTACAAAAATTTTTATAGAAAAATAAATTCCAGTTAGGCCTATCGGATTTAAATAAGTTTCATTTTCTCCCCATTTTCCTTCATTATGAATATAACTATTCATTATAAGTAAATTCTTTAATTCTTTTGTTAAATTTAATTGTTTTTTGTATATTTCAGGATCAAAAATAAATTTTAATTGTAAAACAGTATTACCAACTTAAATAATTTAAATAATATAATTGAAAATTATGAAAATATCTGCTACAATAAATCTAATTATAATTAATTTTTCTAATTCGTAATTATTAAAATTGAATGAGTTAAAGCATTTGGCCACAGATTCATACTCGGGATTTTTATCGTAATTATTTGCGATTTTGCAAGGTCCGCTATAGGGTTAGATTTTCGAACCGGGCCGACGTTCGAGTCTTTTTAAGGTCTAAATTCGAGGCCCGGTTCGATTTTTCGAACCAACCCGGGCCCCCAACTCTAGTCCGCTATTTAGTAATCTAATGTTATAAATTCAAATGTCTCGTTAGTAAAAGGCAATAGTCATTCAAATAAAGCGCCTTTTAATGTTTGTCTGCGATTTAATCGTTTTAAATAAATATTATATTTAAATATTATTTTAACTCATTTCAATAATTATCTCGAACTTTTCAAATATTTTTTAAATAAATTCGATTTATTCATTATTTAATTTTTTAATTCTCACTTTTTTCGTTAAATTCATTAGCATCATTCAATAAATTTATTTCAAATTCTGTTTTCTCAGAAGAATTTTTTGATTGAGGAACATGAGCCAACAAACAAAGAATATTCCCTTCATTTTGTAAATGTTTTAATTTATATCTATTTATTTTTGTTTTTATTTTATTATTATTTGCAATATTTGTTGGTAAATACAATCCAATACTTCCATTTATCTTATTAAAATTTTAATTAACAAATTATTATTAAAAAAAATTACCATAATATGTGTTATTGTTGAAATTGGGATTTCATTTACAGCGATATATGCACCTAGATATTTTCCATTAAATGTAATTGAATAATTGTAAATTTTATTATTTTCATTTGATATGTCAAAAATATCAATAATAAAATCAAATAAATCATTTTTATTTAATGTTATTCCATTTATTTGTATAGTCTCCCTCTTAAATTAGTTAATAATTTTCTTTGCTAAAAATAAATTTTAAATTAATTCTCCTTTTTGATAAGGAGCCAAATATTTTAGAAAATGAATTTTCTCTAATTATTATTTAATAAGGCACTTTTGAAATTCGGAAATTAATTCTGGAAACCCCACACAAAAATGTTTTTAAAATAAGAATTTTTTGACCTTAAGAGTGAACTGTTGAGAAATTTTAACTTACATAATTAGATTTAATTAATAATTTTTGTTCAGTAAAATCAATTTCAATTAATAATACCAAAGCACCCACTAAATTTCGAAATATATTTTTAAATTAATTATTAAATTTTTACATTTATTAGTTAATTCCATTACTTCATGAAGTAAAGCAACTTCCATTTTATTAATCTTTGGATTTCTTAAAATAAATCCTCTAATTATTATTCTTGTTCCGTTTTGAATTTCAGCATTTTTTAATGTATTTATAAAAGGCGTGTTTCTTACAGGTGCTGGCTAAAAAATTGTTTTTAAATATTTTAATTTGAAAAAATTTTTTACGTAAAGTTGATTGGAAGGCCTATGAAGACGATTTCTTCCAACTAAATGTCCAACACTGATCATTGATATCGGAACTAAATCACCAGAAATATGTACAGTTCCTTTAGTATTCTCATTAAATATTTTTTCATTAAACCAATCGCTCGGCCAAAAAGAATTTACGGACAAAAAATGTTTATCATTTTCTGTTGAAATCCAAAAATAATATGGTTGTAAAATTATATTAAAATATATATTATCTCCATAGCTAAAGAATATTTTTTCTCCAATTTTATAATTACTTGGAAGTGTATGTTTAATCCAGGAACCTTTGAACTAAGAAATAATTTTTTATTTTTAATTAATTTTTTATAATAATTATAATGGATTAATGATTAGAGACCGGATCGATACGATATATCGCTGGAAAATGTCGATATATCTCCATTAAAGATGTTTTATCTAAAGAAGATTGGCAAAACAAAAATTGAGAAATTAGGCATAGCAAACCCATAACGAAAAATCACTATTTTCAATAAAGACCAAAAAATCTTTAACAATCTAAATTAAATAAACATACTTACATTTTTAACATCAAAATTAATTGAATAATTAGTTATATAAATATTTAGTAAGAATTTATCAATTTTAAAATTTAATTTTATGTATTTCGCATTTTTATCAGGCATTAAAGCAAAAATAATAAATCTTTGTTTAATTTTGCCCAAGTTAAATGTTTGATTTGTAAAACGTTTTTTGCAATGCTTTTCTTGTGTTAAATTAAGTATATCTTGCTTAAATGGTTTTTCAATTGAAAGAGGTGTTGAAAACTAAAAATTTTAAAATATTTAAAACAAAATTCTTTTAATTCCTTAACTCTAGCTTGTAAAGCACAAGTACATCCTCTATAAACAAATAAATTAATTAATCTCCCAGCTCTAATTGGCAATAAATCTAATCCAAGTGCCCACAAACCAGAATATTGATATAAATAGGCACCTTTATTTATTTTTGAAAGAAATTCTTTTTGAAGATTTTCTTCTTTCTTTTGGATTTCTTTAGCTAAATTATTTTAAATTATTTATCTCAAAAAATATTTAATTGCCTTCATCTCCCTCAAAAATTAAACGAGTAAATATATTATCTTTCTTCCCAAATTCTAATTTAAATGAATTATTTGATTCAAATTTATATCTAAATTTAAAATTAAAATTTAAAATACATATCCAAATAAATATACATTTCATCAGTTATTGACAAATAAATATTAACAAAAACAATTCCTTCCTTTATTTCTGTATTGATATATATTCCATGCCAAATTGAATAGCCAACATTTCCGGGAGAACAAGTTTTGTTATTTTTTGGATTATTACAAAATGAAAGCCTTTTATTTTCGCATAAATCGGTTACTTTATTCTTTTATTTAAAAAAATTAAAATTATCTTAATTTTACACATTAAATTTTTATTTTAAACGGTTCGGTCCAGAACCGACAACTGATTAGACTTGTCGGTTCTGGACCGAACCGAACCGAGAAAACCGAGGATTTTTCGGTTCGGCTCTTCGGTTCGGATTCGTATATCCGAAGAATTTTCAGGAACCGACAACCCTACTTATAATAAACAATATATGATAAAATAATTTCCTCAGTCAATTAAAAAAATATCATAATTTAATTATTATAGAATGAAATGATTTAAAAATTTTAATTTTTCTGACTAATCCTGCCCGTAGAAATTATTAAAAAAATATTTTAGAGATTAAGCGATATGCTATTTAAATAATTATATTTTTAAATAAATTACTTCAGTATTTATTAAACGATATGGAATTGAAGTAATCGTCCCATTTTTAGAATTTTCTCCCCTCAATTGGCTTGGATAGCAAATTAAAAGTCTAAAAATATTTTTAAATTATTTGTTTAAAAAAATTATATACCCTTCAGGTTGGCAAATAAACAAAGTTTTGAGAAAAAATTCCAAAGAATAAGAGCCAATTTTGTTTTGTTCTGGTCTTAACAAGCATTGATCATAAATTAAATAGGGAATTCTGTAATGATTAACACCAATATCAGTCAACATAAAACTTTAAAAGAATTTAAATAAATTTCAGAATTTAATTTTAAAAATATTTATTTATTACGTCTCTTCATCTTTTAATTCATTTTTTGATATATTTGGTTTATCCACAATTTTTGAAGCATTTCCTTTATGTTTACAATTTACATAATGCAAGAAAACCATTAATAAAATAAATATTTTTTTCAAAACATTAATAATTTTGATCATATTTATTTTATTTTTTTAACACTACAAATTAAAAAATAGTTTTAGAGGCAAATATGTACTTTAGTTTTAAAAGGATCTTGATCTATGTAGACCTTGATTTTTCCTGGATCCGCAAAGTTATATCGAGAGTTTTTTGATTTTTCCTTGACTAATGATCAAAAATCTGATCAATAAGGTCAAGTTCAAGATCATGGGGTTTTAAATTGTCAATCTCTACGAAGTATGTAATTTAAATTCGCTGATTTAATGTTTAAATTAATTTAATTTTACTATTCTACAAATAAATAAATTATAATATATGTAAGCTAAATAATATTTTTTATTTTAGATATTTACATAGATATATTAAAAAAGCAAAGTATGACTCATTTTGATTAGATAAAAGTAGGGTTGTACCCCGAACGCTCGGGGGCGGGTATGTCGGGGTACGGGGTTTTCCAATTGTTTCGGGGCGGGGTTCGGGTCGGGGGAGCAAAATATGGCCGGGGTTCGGGTCGGGGTACGGGGGTTTAGTGGAAAAATTTTTAGAGAAAAGAATGCTCAAAAATAATTAGAAATCGATATATTTTCGTTGATTTATTCAAAAATTAAGTAGGATTTGAAGAAATTAGAGGGGATTTGAAGAGATTAAAGTGTATAACTTGGGATATAAGTGGATCTGGAGGGATTAAGTGGGATTTTTAAGGATTAAATCCTCCGATTACCATTCAGCTCCCATTAACAGCGCCGCAGGCAAAATTTTGAATATTTGGAAGATCCTTAAGGCAAAAATCTTCCATTTTATGCACCGCATGCGAAAATTTTGAGAATTATAGAAGGCTAGAAGCCAGATTTCTTCCGTTTTTTACGCCGCAGGCGAAAATTTTGAAAATATTGGAAAAATCTTCGTCGGAAATTTGCCTTAAAAATTCATGGAAATCGGAAATTTTTCCAAAATTTCGGAAATAGGCAAGAAAAAAACGTCGGAAATCGGAATTTCGACCCTCCTCTGATACAGGGGTTGAAGGATTAAGGGTGGTTCAAGGGATATCAGTTAAAAATAATATTAATATTTTCAAATTAAAATTTAACTCGTTAATAATTTGTTTTTGTAAAGAAATATAAAAACAATAGAGTTCTCCTTATATGGATCCAAACCCACTCCTATATTAACAAAATATCGGCTAAAACCACCGACTAAGCCACTCAACCACAAGTCTTTTAATAAAAAAGGAAAGAAAATTATGATATTTCATTCATTTTTCTTTCACAAATAATAAAAGTAAAGTAAAATGGGTGGAAATTTTTTAAATTTTCTCCATTAATTTCTCCAAAAAATGACATTTTTTAGGGGTATAAAACCCCGATAACCCCGAAATTTTTTTGGCCGGGGAACGGGGTTTTCACTTTTTTTCGGGGCGGGGTTCGGGTCGGGGAGAATCGTGAAAAAATCGTTCGGGAACGGGGTCGGGGTTCGGGGTACGGGGTCGGGGTACAACTCTAGATAAAAGCATTCAATCGTGTTTTAAATAATTAATTACAAATTACAAACTAATAATATTAAAATAAAAGCAAATAATATGTAATTGAAAATTAAATAGAAAATTTAAACTTTAGAATAAAATAATTATCTCAAAAATTTCTTAACGAGAATCGTCTTCTTCTTTTGTTAATAGATCCATTAATTTGATAAGGACAAGGATTTTTACGGATTTGGAAATCAGATTTTCATTTCTGCTTCATGTCGGACAGGGTCAAGCTGTAATTCTACTCCTCCTTTAATAATAAATTCTGTATTTATCTAAACTCAATATAAAGCTCAAGATAATTTCCATGTTTTTAAAACTTAACTTTAAAAACTAACTAGAAAAACCTTCAGCCGATTCAGTGTTTAGTTATCATAACCTGTAAAATAAAGAGAAATTATTATGTTGCTCTTTAGTCAAGGATAAGTAAATTTAAATAAATTTTGTATTTTAATTTTATTAAATCAAAAAAATTATAACAAATACCTAATTTCATTAAATTAGACCCATACACTAAATATATTTTCTCTCAATTTGTCCTACACATTTGATTTTCTTACTTACTCCTCTAGTTCTCATAAATAAATAAATAAAAAAAATTTATTTAAATATTTTTATTTTCAGTACTTTAAATTCAAAAATTGATTATTTTTCCCTATTTAATTTCTTTAATTCCATTTTTATCCGATCACAATGAGAAGCGAGCAAAAACATAAATCCATGAATTTGCGAGAAAAATAAGCGCAGAAAGTGACAATTACATTTAAAAATAAATAAATTTATAGAAAAAGAGAGTTTTTGTGAATTTAATTAATTAATTACTTTTCTTTCTTTATATCTTTCCATTCAAATAATCATGCAATCATTTAATGACTACAAACAAAAGCTAAATATCTCTTTAGATAATTATTCGATAATTTCTTTTTTGATTAAAGCTTAATTAAATAATCGTTAAATAATTAATTAAAAATTAAATAAACTATTCAGGATTCTGAATATATATCTGAAATTTTGGAGATATTTTTTGGAGAGTCTCTGATAGGATCAATTCTTTCAACTCCCACTCTCCCTTTGTTGCTATACTAATTAAACTTGACTATAATTTTGATTAGTATTTTGTTAATTTTCTTTTCATTGAATACGTTATTTGTTTAATTTTCATTAAAAATTTAAATACTCAAAATAATTATTAATTAATTAATTTTTTTATTAAAAACAACAAATTAACAATGCCTCTATTATTTATCATAATTTTTCAATTAATTATAAATGGAATTAAAGCAGAGGAAAGGGCGGAAGTAGATATTAGGGTTTCTGGAGCTTGCAGTCCGAGTATTTATTTTTAATTATTTTTCATTAAATTAAATATTTTAACGAAATAAATATAAATTTTTAACGATTTTTATGAATTATATTCGGATTATAACAGCAAGAGAATAGCTGTACTATCTATTCTAAATTTATTTTTGCTTACATACATAGTATCATTTCTGAACAATAACCAACCCCATTTTATATCCTTCACATTTATTTAATAAATTCGATAAAATAACTAAAATAAAAATAAACTTAAATCTTGCTTTGATCACTATCTAATTTAAATTTTTCAAATTTACTTAAAAAATATCAAAAAAATTTTACAAATTTTTTTCAGTTTATTTGTCAAGGAGAGGAATTGATTTAGGCAAATACCGCCCAATAATACGTTTTAATCCGGATAAAGTTCAACTTATACCCAAAAATCCAGTAATACCTGGATGCGTTAAAATAAAAGCAGAAGGTGTTGAAATACTTAAACCTATAAAGAATTTATTTGCCGAAATAGAAATGAGAATTGGTGGAAGGTATTGTTTTATTTTATAAAACGTTAATTAAATTATTATTATTACATACTTTCCTTGTGGATAAACTTAGTTAGATCACTAAATGCAAATGTTTATTTTATAAATAAATTAAATCTATCCTACCTTTAAAAATTTAATTTTATAAAAGTTTTAATCTTAAAACCGAACAAATTTTAATAATATTAAGAATTATTTTTTAAGCCCAGACCCTAATAATCCAACTCTTCCTTGTACTAAAAGAATTGATGACAAAGTAAATCAATGTCCATGTGCTAAAACAGAAGGATCTTGGTTATTATTTATTTAAAAATAATTTTTAATTTAATTTTTAAAGTGTTTTTTGTGATTTCTGTAGACAATTACGAGCACAACAATCAAAACTTTCTATTACAGAAACATCGAAAAGAAAACTAAAAAATAAATCTGGAGATGAAGATTCTTTAGAAGAGCAGTGTAAATGTGAAACAATGCAGCCAGGATTATATGATATCGAAACAGAAATGTGTACTCCAGAATTGGATGATACAAAGCAATATATACCTACTGAATTACAAAATAATGTTTTGGAAAAAACGCCTGTTTGTATTTTAATAAAAATAATTATTTTTTTAGATTTTGTTATATAATAATTAATCCGTTAGAAGCGGAACAATTATTTATATTTTAGATTAGAAATATTTAAGACCTAATTAAAATTATCTTATTAAAATTTCCTTTAAATATTTGTGTAAAAAATATTTTATTCTTCCTTTTTAGATTTCAATGTTCATAACAGTATATTTAATGGATTTACAGACAAATCCAAACGAATCATATTTATCTGCATTTGGAAAAGCTATACTTCAGTAATTAAATATACTTAATTAAATTATTAAAAATATTTTTAAAGAAGAAGAATGGCACAAAGCACAGTTGCATGTTTCTTGATGGGTTTAGATGTAACCCTTGGAGCAAATGAAAATAAACAATCACAGCATTCCTCTACCTCTAATGAAGAATAAAAAAATATTTTTTTGAATTGATTCTAAATAAATTACTATTTTATGTTTAGGCTCTGGTTTAGGATGAACTTCCCTCGGATAAAAATTAGATAATGACCAAAAAACTTTTTGGAAGTAAACAATTTTGTAGAAATAATTTCTAAATGAGAGCTTTTATTTTTTTATTTCGAATTTATTTATTTAAAATTTTTCAAATTTCAATTTATTATATTCTTTCTTGTAGTTTTATTACTAAAAGTCATTAAAAAATGAAATATATAACTTAAGAATCTTGTTGAATTTTCATTTTATTTTAAAATTCATATTATTTTAATCACTTCTTTTCAAGAAATTTTCAAAAAAATTGGAAAATTTAAAGCTATCCATAGGATAACATTGAAGTTGATGAGAAAGAATTAAGCGCATAAAATGCTCATTTTCGATAGCAACATTAATTAAACGAATACATTCATCCAATCTTTGAGCCCCTTCAACTAAACCTAATCTTCGTTGATTATATTGAAGTAAGATTTTTGTAAATTTAACAGATTCGTTATAAAGTTGTTCCTTTCCTTCAATGGACAAGTCTTCAGCATCTTTTAGAAAAATTAAAGTTTATTTAAATTGAAAATTAAAAAAAGCTAAAATAAGAAGACAATATGTAGAAGTCTTCATTCATAACTTCTGAATTATTTTATCAATAATTCTGAAATTCTTAAGAAAGTTAGATATCTTTATTGTGGATAGTGTAAAGCATATAGCTATTTATTTCATAAGGCAGTGCAGTAGGCGTGGTGTACTGGAAAACACATCAGTCCGTTCTAATCAAGATACTGGTTCTTGATTAGGACGGACTGATAACCTTTTGCACTAGCTGAAGGAGAGAAAGAGCTATAGCCCAGCTCTGCTTTACTAATCTACGCAAAATTTACGCAAAATTTCAAGATTTTAAGTGCCCATTTATCTAATTTTTAAGAGGGTAACTAAACGTTCGTTCGCCCTTACAAATTAAAGTTTTACTTGATTTTGTGAAAATAATAGCTATTAACAAAGCAAATTCAATTTTTGTTAATGCAACACGTTCAAAATGAACAACAGATTTTGTAAATAAAAGTTCCGACAATTTAATCATTCTAAAAAATAAAAAAATATTTTTCATGTTTTTTTAAGTTTACCGATCATGATATAAATATTGACAATCCTTCATATTACCAAGAGCCGGCATAACACAATCTTTACGTGTCCAAGTTTCAGAGCCTAATTCCCAAGCTAGATAAGAACCAGTAAATGCAGTAAACAAATAAGAAATATGCCTTAGATGTGCAATCTATTTTATAAAAAGAAAAATATGTTTTGAATTAATCAAGCTTTTTCGTTTTTTGTCTTTTAACTCAGCTTCAATAATGATTTAATACCCAAGATTATCCCATCCCTCATTAATCTACTCCAGAGTATATTAAGATTGTATCGTGTTACTCTTAGCTCTATGAAAAAGCTGCTTTGAACGGCGTAAACTTATAGAAAACCCCATCATAGTATTGGTTAGGTGCACAAGTGGTTGTGCTTTGGTCTGGGTCTATTCCCAAATAATACTCATACATAAATCTATAACAAGACTAATTATATACATGATCAGATAAAGTCAATTTATCAAAAACAGGCATAAATTTAGCTATACCAACACACACGAATCTGTCAACTAAAAAATATTTGTGACAAAGTTTGTTAAGCATTTTCTCATTTTGTACTGAAGATTCCCTACAATTTAATTCCCAAAAAGATATTGGATTTGAGCTTTGCTTCAAAATTAAAAAAAAAATAATTTTTATTAAAAATTAAATTAAAATTTACCGAAAGATTGTAAATTAGACTAGAAATGTTTAAATTAGATAAAATTATTTCTTCAAACAAAATCGGGCCATTAAGGAATATACTACCCTCCAAATTATTTAATGAATGCATAATACGTTTTTTGGCTTCAATAATTGCCAAAATTGACTCAATTTGTTTTTGATCATCGATGGATATGTCGACAGTTGGAGGATTTGGAAGCTTAAAAATTAAGAGCTTAGCAAGAGTTTAACTTCGGGGAAGGATTTAAACTTCAACAATATTTGACAGTATCGCTTTATCTCATTTAGACCGTTTTATCATTTAATATATCATAAAAAATATCATAATATATTATTAAGAATACAAATACCTGATAAGATATATTCTATTATAAACAAAAATATTTGTCGGTTTTTGGATATTCTGCTTTTAATGGGGTTTTATTTAGGTTTTTAATTTAATTTCCGATTCAATTTTTGACTATGAAAAGAAAACTTAAAAGTAAAAATGAAAGTCTGGAAATTATAATGTACGGGAGAATCGTTAAAATGAAGAAAATTTTGATTTGTTTAAATTGCTGCTCGATTATTAATGCAAACTTTTAAGTTTGAAAAAATTTTAAAAAAGTTTTAAAATATCCCCTTTCCCTTTCCAATTAAAAAATAAATAATTTACGTTAATTTGATTGTTTTGTTTTTTCATTGCTTCCAGGCATATATCTTGACGTAAATATCCAACATCTACAATTCAATTATTTTTAAATTTTATTAAATATAACTAAGGTAATATCCCGATGTGGTCGAGAGTGTCGGGGATGGGAGGGCATGTTAGGGTTGAATTTTGAGACAACCATTTCAGCTAGCAAAGACGATAATGTTTGGGGGACGGGGCGTTACTTTTATCTTAACAAACCCAATTTTTTCATTCCAACAGAAAGACATTTTTCAAGTCTACATTTTTGACATTTTGCTAAATTTGTTTGGGATTTTCCGTCTTTATTCTCTTTTAACAATAGTTTTTGCAAACATTTACATGTATATTTGCATTCTCCTTCACTTTCAAGATAACGCCTTTTAAAAGAATTTTTCCAAATTAAAAACAAAATAAAAAATACCTGAAAAAAGCCCCACAAGCCCTACATGTACAAACTCCATAATGAAAACAAACATTTACTTTTGACTCACAAACTTTGCATTTTTTAACAAAGTTTCTTTGCATTTTTAAATTAAATTGGTAATTTTTCTAAAAAATAACATGTACTAAAATAAAGCGAAAGTCTTTTAACACTGATTTAATTAAATAGATAATTAATGAATAAAAGAGAGGGGATGTTATGTTCTTTTATTTTTGTTTTTTAAAATCAGTTTTGGTAGATCTATTTTCTGCAGAGCTCTATGGAGCTATTTATTTGTTTAATTTTTCTATCTATCTATATTTTTTAATTACCCTATTTTATGTTGATTTTGGGGGAATTTATTGTTTATGTCAGCTAGATCCCTGGGATATATATGAATATAATATATACTGTAAAGCATATAGCTATTTAATTTCAAAGGCTAAGAAGGAGGCGACGAGGAGTAAATGCATAACAAACACACATCAGTCCGACCTAGCTTTTGCATAAGCTGAAGGAAAAATAGCTAGCACAGTTCAGCTTTATTTGACTGTGTTTGTGAATAGGGTTGTACCCCGAACGCTCGGGGGCGGGTATGTCGGGGTACGGGGTTTTCGAATTGTTTCGGGGCGGGGTTCGGGTCGGGGGAGCAAAATGTGCTCGGGGTTCGGGTCGGGGTACGGGGGTTTAGTGGAAAAATTTTTTGAAGAAGAATACTCTAAAAATAAGCGTTTTCGGTCTATTTTCGTTAATTTATGCAGAAATTAAGGGGAGATGGAGGAAATAGAGATGATATGAGGGGTTTTTAGGGATTAAAAGGGATTTAAAGGCATTAAGATGTATAACTGAGAATATAAGTGGATTTGGAGAGATTAAGAGGATTTGAGGGGATTAAGAAGATTTGGAGGGATTAAATGTGGTTTCTTGGGATATTAGTGATTTTGGGGGATAACGAGAGGAATTGAGATGGATATCAGGGGATCTGGACGTATCAGGGGTCATTAATATCCCTCTTAATCTGCATTAATTCGTCTATATCCTATTTCAGCGCCGCAGGCGAAAATTTGGAAGGCCAAGAAACAGACCGCTTCCATTTCAAAAATTTTTCCATTTTTTGCGCCGCAGGCGAAAATTTTAAAAATTTTTGAAAAATCTCTAGTCGGAAATATGCATCAAAAATTTTCGGAAGGAATTACGACCCACCTATGATTTGGATCCGCGAACCGAATCCCATATTAGTGGAACCATGGACTAAAACCAACCAACAAACCAGTTAACCACAAGTCTCTTAACAAGAGAGGAAAGAGAATTTTGATATTTCATTCATTTTTCTTACAAAAATAATACAGGCAAAGTAAATTGGGAGGAAATTTTTTAAATTTTCTTCATTAATTTCTCCCAAAAATGACATTTTTTGGGTATATAAAACCCCGAACCCCCGAAAATTTTTCGGTCGGGGAACGGGGTTTTCACTTTTTTTCGGGGCGGGGTTCGGGTCGGGGAGAATCGTGAAAAAATCGTTCGGGAACGGGGTCGGGGTTCGGGGTACGGGGTCGGGGTACAACTCTATTTGTGAAGATGAATTAGGAAGGATAATTATTTGAGGTAAGGAAATTATTGTTTCTATCCTTCAATAAAGAGGGTAATAAAATAAAACTGATTTTAAAAAGCTAAAGACTGCGGGGCTATACTGGACACACTCCGGTTATATAAGCTTATAAAATATTAGCAATAAATATTTACGTTTAAATTAATAAATACAAAAATTTGTTGGCAAAAATTGATATATTCAATTCGAAAAATTCCCTCCTAAGCAGTTTTTCAATGGCTATGTAAAACGTATTTCATTTTAATTTTTGCCTTTTTCGTTTGAAATTTGGCTAAACAAATAAATTTTCTAAATAAAATTTGAACGAGATCTCCAAAGACAGGCAAATTTTGTTGATGGGATAATATATCGTTTGGTACAAAAAAACGAACTATCGTGGCTAGAATGCTTTATTCAAAAACAAAATTTCTTTTCAATTACAAAAATAAAAATTAAAAACGGCTAATTAAACAAAAATGGAACGAAAATTAATTTTTATTAACGCCAATCTAAATATGGTTGGAACGCTTATGGATCGTGGCTGGATCGTGTTAACGCTCTAAAATCAAATGTGGAAACTGAAGAAAAAGATTTTTATTGTATTGATTTTAGACGTAAAATATTTTGGCTCTGATGTTAGGGAAGGTTGAATTTTTTTAGAATTCTTTAAAATTTAAGCAAATAAGGAAGTAAAGTCAAATAGGCGATGTGGTGCTATTTTTAAAAATTATCCTGACTAACGTGCATTAGCCCTTGTTTTATAAAAAATTGAAGTCAATCAAATATTTGAATTAATTTTTTCAAATAATTTGTATTCAAAATTTGATTGGCTGATTTTGGCACAAATCAGATAATTGAATTTTTTTGTTTTTCCAATCTTTATTTGTAAATATCTTTCTTTGGATTGGCTTATCAACTTTTATTTTGATTTGTTTTCTCTCTATCTGTATTTTGAAATTTCTACTCATAAAGTCAACTCTTTGCCTAAACTAAAATTAATTGTCATCAAAGCATTTTAGCCCACCAAATTTAAGAAACGTTAGAATTCCCCCCCCCCCCATTCAATTGGAAAATTCAATAAGAAAACGGCTAATTAAACAAAAAATTGAAAACGAAAATTAATTTTTATTAACGTAATCCACAATTGGTTTATTTGGAACATAAAATGGATTTTTAAAAAAATAAAAAATATTGACTTTGATAAAATAATTTGGAATTTTAATATATTTTTCTAATTACTCAACTTTTTTTATTTCTTCTCATTTTCAAGCTTTAATTATAACTTCCATGAGTTGTGGATTTTGTATTTTGTCCGATCAAGAATCTCTCTCTTTGAGAGGTTCTTGATCGGCTCTCTCTTTGACTCTCTCTTTGATTGAACATATTGATCAGATTTGTTCCATTGTTGGAACAATTGCCCTATGTTAAAATAGACTTCCCCGTCCTTGGAATACATAATTAAGAAATAAAAAAATTCGATATTTTGGGTAAGCGTCATTTTGGGTGTCAATATTCTGGAGCGGAATCTATTTTTTATTAGTAAAATTTTGAGATTAAATATTTAGAAAATTCTAATTCATATTTTAAAATAAATAAATCTATGTTGTTATCTATTATATACCTATTTATTTATTCTTCGTCAATACTATTTTTTATTTCCTCAATTCTTACCAAAACATTCCTTGGTTTCAACACCTCCTTTCCCAGCAGTTCAATCTGTAGAAAATTAAATTATTTTTATCAACTTTCTATTTTTTACTTCGGATGCATTCTCATAGATTATTCGAAATTTTAATATTATAGCTGTCAATGCATTTTTTAAAATATGTTTAGCCAGTGGAATTCCAACGCATCGTCTAGGACCAAAACCAAAAGGAAGCAATGCGAGAAAAGAAGATGGAGAATTTGGTGAATTAAACCATCTTTTAAAAAATTAATTTTAAATTATGAAATTTCTAATTAACATTTTATATAAAATTTTAATATGTAATATTTAAATAATTTCGACTATTCTTTGAATGTAAGATGTCATCGGACAAAATAAAAACAACCAAAACGGCCTTTAATTTATTATACATTCTGAATTCCGAATCCGATGCATACTACCTGACCCGGAAAGTTTCAATTTTCTATAAAAATTCTAGTCATACTTTATTTAATAACTTAAAAATTATTTTCAAAAATTTTTCTACCTCTCTGGTTTGAATTCATTCGCATCTTTTCCCCAAAATTCCTCATCTATTGCCATTGAGAATATATCAGCTTCTATTATATCCCCAGGATTCAAACAAATCTCTCCATTTTTTGTCAAATATTTAATGGTACATCTTCGGGTACTTGCACTTTAAATTAAATGTAAATAATTTAAATTAAATTTTTTTTTAATTTTAGGGGATTTTTGGGAATAGATAATTCTTATTAGATAATTTAAAATTAAAAAAAAACATACAAGGCAACTATAGGACATAGTCTAAGCGTTTCATTAATAACTCCATCTATCAATTCTTTTTCTGATGAAGTATTTAAAGATAAATTATTATCCTCGTTTTGTAAATTAATTCGAAGGTTCTCTTGTATCTGAGGATAAGCAGCCATAAAATGGACAATACATGAAAGAGCAAAGCTAATTGTTTGGAGGCTTAATTATTAAATTTATTTTATTTGAGGTTACCTTCAGTTAAGCTTAAGTTCAACTTTCGAGAGTTGAATCGTTAAATAAAATTTTTGGATACGTGTCACTAGGATCCCAGCCTATTTGGACACAGAGCAATTATGGCCTAGAAAAGTTCATAATTTTCTCGGGCAGAGAAAAAATCTAGCATTTATATGAAAAAAAACTAATTTTTAATAGCTTACCCGGCTGCCTTAACACTATTATTAAGCAACAGATTTCCAAGAATAACTTCCAAACGAGTTGTGGAATTATTAAACGAGCTTAATTATATTAATTATTTAAATATTTTTATTTTTGTATATATTAATAATTATAATCTGATACCTTTCATCATTTAGCAATATAGTATCTTGTTTGTCCATCAAGATTTGGTTATACAAAACTCTAAATAATCCAAATTGTTTTTGTTTATGCTCATTTTCTTTATATTGTTCTTTTTTAATAATTAATTCTTTTGCAAAGTACACATATTTTTGTGGAAATTTGTTTAAATTAATATTAGGGAATACAATTGAAAACGCAATCCTTGAGATCATAGCAGCAAAAAATAAATCGGCATAACTAAAAAATGAAATTTAAAAAACATAAAAAATATTATATTTTAGTTATTTCCTCAAATAAACCACATAACGTTTTATTTACAACTAAATATGCTTTACTATTTTAAAATTCATTAAAATTAATTTTTAAATAATTATTTATTTAAAAATAACAAACTCGCAAAAATCCAGAATTTCACATTTTTTAGCTCCAATTTTCATTTCATTTAAAACATCAATTATTGAATATTCAATAAGTTTGTTCATCTAAAAATTAAAAATATACATAAATTTTTACAAACCGAACGAATATTTTTGTTTGTAAAGATCGAAGCACTTTTACGGAGATTAGCCCATCGTTCACCGTTAGCCAAAAATAAATGTGCTACATCGTGACGAACAGGATTAACTGACTGGAAATAAATAAATTTATGAAAATATTTATATTTAAAATTATAAATAAATAAGTTTAAGTTAAAGTAATAATCCGACCCTTTGGTATCGGGAGTGTCGAGTTAGACTTCGGGAGGGGGAGGAGGTCGGGGGTTTTCCCAAAAAACCCTAGTTTAGAGTCACTAACTAATATCTTATTAAATTTTAAAATTTATATAAAAATTATTTTAAATAATACATTTCGTTCAGAAAAATTCTCGAATTGTTTTGTACTAAAAAGTTCCTCCAGTAAATTTGGATCGCTACAAATATAAATCTTTCTCAATTTCATTCCTGGCCCAATTTCAATTGTTAGAAAAAGTCTTCCAAATTTTTTAGTTAATTTCATTAAATGAATATATCTGGGCATATTGCTTCTAGTTGTTGTAAAAAGTCGATCAAAATTAAACTTTATTTGCCATAGGAAATGAAAACTAAAAATTAATATTTTTTAAAAAATTTATTGTAAAATTTAAATATTGACTTTGGTTATGAATTTTTGTTTGGATTACTTTATGATAGAATATTCTGAATTTATTTGGCATAATTTAGTGCAAAGTCACTACTATGGAGACTCTGCTGTATTTTAAAAAGCTGAAGACGGAAGGCGGAAGCGAAGATGGGGTCTATCCCTGATCCTAAGCTCCGTTAACTATTTTTTATAAAACAAATTTAGAATTTATCATAAATATTCCAGATTTTGTTTTTTAAATGTTACTCTAATTTATTATAAATTTTTATTTTAATCATCGAAGGATAAATTTTAATTTACAATTTTACAAATAAAATATAATTTTTTAATTATAAAAACAAATAAACCCTACTTTAATTTGTAAAAAGTCCAGATAATAAAAATAATAATTATTAATATTGCTAGAACGCCCATTTTATATATCTGTTTTAAAATATTTTTTAAAAACAATAAAGTTTAAAATATTCATTAATAAATCGAATATTTACAAAAAAATGATAAAATTCGCATAATTAAGTAAAAATAAAAATATTTTCTTTAAAATTTTTTCAAATTTTTGCCAGATGTATTCGTTTACAAAAATCCTAAAGAATTTTATTTATTTTTACTTTGTTATTTTTTAACTAATTATAATGTAAATTTTGTTTATTTATATTTTAACTGTTTACAAAATTTTTTTATTTAAATGAAAAGGCAAAAGGTCATAAGAATTAATTAAAATTAGAAAAAAATCTTTGTCAAATGATTTGAGAAAATATTTTAAGAAAAATTATAATCTGATTTTTTGCAAATTTATTAAATAAAACATTTAAGTGACTCAATATTTTAAAACAATTTTTGGAACAAAATTAATATTTTAAAGTTTTGTCATATTTACTAACTAATTTATTTTTTAAATTATACAGTCGTGGAAAAAAGTATGGAAGCGCTAGAAAATTTTTTCTTAATTCTTAATTTTTCATACAAAAAATACGTTCTATATACCAATCGAAAGCTCTATTCGTATCTCAGTTGACATGTTTCTGCATTTTTCATGAAAATAAAAATTGGCCGAGATAATCTCTAAGCGGTTTTGTGGAAAATACTCAGAAAAATATGCTTTATCATTTGAGTTTGTTAAATTTGTTCCGAAAAATTTTTCCGAAAAAGTGGGATTTGGTATATCCGGTAGATCCGGATTATCTCGGCCAATTTTTATTTTCATGAAAAATGCAGAAACATGTCAACTAAGATACGAATAGAGCTTTCGATTGGTATATAGAACGTATTTTTTGAATGAAAAATTAAGAAATAAGAAAAAATTTTCTAGCGCTTCCATACTTTTTTCCACGACTGTATAAATATTTGCAATGACAATTAGATCATTTTTTGACGTCATATTTTGAAGAAATAAATTAGAACATTTAAAAATAATTTTGGAATAAATTTTAACGAGCTATGAGCATTAAATTTAGAATAAAATATGTACATTTGAATCAGAAAGCCTCTTTAATAAATTAAAAATTTATTTTGTAATAAAATTTTATTGTATTTAACTTTTATTGTATTAATCTCCCTTCAAAATTATTTATTTATATTTTTCCCTTAATTTTTCTGAAATTATTTTGTTATTAAAATTTCCAAATAGAATATTCTAATATTTTTTAATAATTTTATTAAATATATATTTTTAGTAAATTATCTTTTATCTTTTAAATCAAAAATTAATCTTTTCATTATTTTACATTAAATAGATATTTAGCAATTTAAACTATGTATAATTCCTAAAATGATTAAAAAGTTGCAATTTTTGGAAATTTTTGAAGGGCTTCATTTGTCAAAAATGGAAATAATTTTTAAAAATCAAATAAAAATAGCTTCATCTTTTTTTATTTTTTGGCTTCTTTTTTATTTTAATTACTCTTTTATCTATTTATTTAAATAAACAAAAATTATTTTTAAAAATTATTTACTCCAAAAATTATGCCAAATAAATTTAAATATTTTTTATTAAATTTAATTAATTTATATTTAATCCAAATAAATTTAATTAAATGTCAAAACCAAACAGAACAAATAAATAATCAGACAAATTCCCCTAATATTCTACCTTTACAATTAAAAATTGGATTACTTTTTGCTAATTCAACATCAGCTTTACGTTTATTATTTGGATTTGCTCAATCTGCACCAGCAATTAATTTAGCAATAAAGAGGGCTCGAAATGAGAGTTTAATTGATAATGTTAATTTTACGTAAAAATTTTTTTTATTTTTTTCAAAAAATTTGATTTTAAAGGTTTACATGGCTAAATTGTGATTGTGACACGTCTTTGGCTGCTGGATATACAAATAAATTATTTCTTGATGAAAACGTTGATGCAATTATTGGTCCGCCATGTGTTACAGGTATCGAATAGAAAAATAATTAAAAAATGTTTTTCTCCTAAATTTAATTTTTGTATTAAATTTATTGTTGAGAAGGTAATTGTTAAATTCCATTGTTACCTTTTATTTTTAACAGTTCCATAAATTATAGAAAATAAAGAATTCTTTAAGCTGAACTACCAATTTTTCAAAGGATCAGCAAACCTATTAAAATATAATTTTTATACAAAATGCCTGAATTTTCGATTTTTTAAGCTTGCAAAAAATTAATCAATCTATTAACTTAACATAATAATTTCTCTTTCCTAGCCGCACTTGTCGCAGGATATGATGCTTCATTTTATAATTTTCCAATGTTTTTGTGGGGTGCTACTGTTGCAGCAGACCTTTTTGACCAAAATGTTTATCCAACTGTCACAAATATAAATTCAAACACAAAAATGTTTAAAAATTAAAAATAAAAATAATTTAATTTAAAACAAATTAAGGCTTGCAATGGCTGTTCAATCTGTTATTTGGGAATTTCAATGGAAAGAAATATCTTTAATTTATATTCAAGATGATGCTAGAAGGTTAATAAATAATTGAGTAATTGAATTTATTTAATAAATTTTTAAAGAGCTTGTGGCTATTTCCAAAAAGATTTTGAAGATATAATTAATCCTAGTTCAAATATAACAATTGTTTTTAAAATGGAAATATACCCAAAAATGGAAAGTATTAAGGATGCAATTAAAGAATTAAAAAATAGATCGAGAAGTAAATTTAAATTAAAATTTAAAAAATTATTTAATTAATTATAGTTATTCTTACCTGTTTTGACAATAATTATGATAGAAGAAATTTTCTTTTAGCAGCAACAGATATGGGTTTAGTTGAAAATAATGATTATGTTTTGATTATTCCATTACTTAGAAATCAAGGAATGCTACAAATGGGTAAAATTATAAAAATGACATAAATTCATAATTTGATTCTTTATTTGATTCAAAACACTATAATATAATAGAAGTATATTTAGATACGGATAACTAAGAATATTCAAATTTTGTGTCCCATAGATATTTTAATTTTAAGTTTCTATTGGAAGAAATGGATCTAAATATGATGGTTTTTGGAAAGATACTAACTCAACAAATGATGGACGTGATGCTGATGCTCTGAAAACAGCTAGACGTTCAATTATTGTTTGTAAATATTGATATTTGAAAATAGAGCCAATTCTTATTAAAGCCCATCCTAAAAATAAGATTTAATAGTTCAAAAATAATGCCTCATTAGGTTCTATTATATGAAATATATTATTTAATTTCTAAAATTTTTTAAAATTCTTTACATCATTATTAACACTTATTTTGCAAAAATTATTTAAAAATCTAGATTGACTTGGAGAATAGATCAAATGCACAGATTGATTCATTTATGAGTAAAATGTATGCAGAATTTGGTCAACCTCCATTTAATTGTAGTGATTCTTGTATGGGAGGTCCTGAGGATCAAAATGTTTGTAATTTTGTTCGAAAAATTTTTTAAAAATTAAAAAAACAATTTTAAAGCCTTCTTCATTTTCTCGAAGTTTACATGATGCTACTTATGCCTATTTACGTGCTTTAAATAATACAATGGAAAAATTTGGTTATATGACAAAAGAAATGGCTAGAAATGGAACTTTAATTACAAACATGAGCCGCGGGGAATTTCAAGGTAATTTATTAAATTTTTATTCATCTTTAAAAATATAAAATTTATTTAAAAAATTATTTTTAGTTTTAATAAACTTAAAATATTTAGGAGAAACAGGAAATGTTATATTTGATCAACAAGGTAATCGACAACCGATATTTTATGTAACAATGCTCGATGCTTCTGATCAACCACAAGTTGTTATGGAAATTAATTTTGTTCCAAATAATACGGTAAGATTATTATAATTTCAAAAAGAAAATGAAGGCTAAAAAATGAGAGATAAATCAAACAAATGTACATATACTGGACACAGTCCTCCTATGTCAGTTCTTTACTCGTTTCAGTCCCGTGTACCATGATCAGTGATGTCAAAGTTCCAGTTCCAGTTCCGGAACTAATTAGTTCTAGTTCCAGTTCCGGAACTAGAACTACGGAACTAACGATTATCTGGAACTAGTTTGGAACTAGAACTACGGAACTAGTAAATGCCTGGAACTAGCTTGGAACTGGAACTACGGAACTAGTAAATGTCTGGAACTAGCTTTGGAACTAGTTCTGGAACTAGTTCTTGGGGGTATATTTTTGACAAAATTTCACCGAAAATTACCTGCAGCGCGCTGATTATGGAAGAAATCTGGCTGCTTGAGCTCCAAAATTCTAAAAATTTTCGCCTGCGGCGCTGAAAAAGTGGATTTTTTCGGCCTACGACCTTAGAAATTCTCAAAATTTTCGCCTGCGGCGCTGATAGGTGGATTTTTTGGCCTCGGAATTACGGGATTAATCCCGCGGCATCCTGTCCCGTAAAAAATTTTGAAAAAAAAACCCGTTACGGGATCCCGCGAATGCGATTTTGCCCCACACTAAATGATTTTTTAAATTTGGCTACTCAACTTAGGCTGCACAAATTTTTAAATTAGTGCACACTCCCACAATACTCCGTGTTTTGTCGAGTGTCAAGTGTTCCGTGCGGGCATACGTGCGTGCGTCCGTGTCAAGTGCACCCTCCTACAATGACATGCGTGTCAAGTGTTGAGTGTTTTAACTTTCAAAAAAATCTTGAAAAGCACTTGACACTCAACACTCTACACGGACGACTATCAAGTGTTGAGTGTCGAGTAGTACGTATCCTTCCTACATTGAAATAATAAAGGCACGGACCAAAACACTTGACACTCAACGCTCAACACTTGACAAGGATCAATTGTGGGAGTAGTGTTATGCTTTTATTTGTTAAAATTGATAAATCCTTTCATATTCAAAAATTTTAAAATTTGGAACTAGAACTAGCTTGGAACTAGTTCCAGAACTGGAACTGGAACTAAGGAATTTCAAAAATGGAGTTCCGGAACTGGAACTGGAACTACAAAAATTAAAAACCTGGTTCCGGAACTGGAACTGGAACTACTAAAATTAAAAACTTAGTTCCGGAACTGGAACTAGTTCCAAAGAAATTTTGGAACTTTGACATCACTGACCATGATCCTACATCGATATTTTTGGTTTTTCTTACTTATTAAAACACAGACTCCAAAACAAGTCCTTTATTCCTTCTCATGAAAATTTATTTAAAAAATAATTTTCATAATTTTTTAGAACTTAAAAAAACGTTATACTGATGAATCCACAATTTGGGTTAACAGCAATGGGAAACGTCCATTATACAAACCAATTTGTGGATATACAGGTACAGATTGCCCTCCAGATATGACTACTTATATTATTATTGCAATTGGTTTGGTTGTATTAATTGTGTTTAGTTTTACTTTTGGAATTGGTTATGCTATTAGGTAAAAAATTTATTAACTACTGAAGTTAAACTTTTCATAATTTTATAAATAGATAATATACTCATGAGTGGAAGGGGAGTTTCGACGATTTCAGTAATATAGAGAAACTAGAAAATTAAAAACCCCCCATTTTTATAAGACATTCTAATTAAAATAATTTATTAGAGATTTTTCAACAGACATTAAAGTTAAATAACTCCACATTTATTGTAATTTTATAAAAGAAGTACATATGTAGATATTATTAACTAAAAATTATTATATTCATTTTCTGTTACAAATAAATTTAAAATTCTTTAACTTTAAGAGAAAAAAAGAAAGAAAAGCGAAGATTAACAAAAGAATGCATTATTCCATTTATTGAATTGAGAAATTTAAAAGAAATTAAAAATAATGATGGAAGTAATTTAGAAATTAATAAAAGTTTGAGAAGTATTCAAAGCAATAGTAATTTATCTACAAACACAAAATTAACAGCAAATATTGAAAGCAAAAAATTGGAAACAGAAAATTATTCCCATTTTTTGTATAATAGAGAAGTTGTTTTTGGAATTAAATATCAAGTTAGAGTTAGAATATTTAATGAAGATTTAACACAATTAAGAAAGGTGTAAATATTTATTAGAGATTTAAATAAAAAATAAATTTAAATATTTAAAGATAAAACAATTAGATCATGATAATTTAAATAAATTTTGTGGGGTTTGTACAGATGCACCTATTTTGTATGGAATTTGGAAATATTGTCAGAGAGGGAGTTTAAAGGATTTAATTGCCAAAGAGCAATATGTCGGTGATTCTTTTGTGATGTTTACTTTAATGAGGGATATAGCTAGTGGATTAATAGCTTTACACGGGTCATTTATTGGAGCACATGGAATGCTTTCTTCAGAGAATTGTTTAATTAATGATCGTTGGCAAGTAAAGATTAGCGATTTTGGATTGAATATGATTAGAGAAAGTCAACCAATGTCAAAAAGAAGTAAAAAAGAATATAATTTTATAAATCTCGATTATTTTTTAAGAATTATTGTGGACAGCACCAGAATTATTAAGAGAAAATAATCGAAAAGGAACAAAAGAAGGAGATGTTTATAGTTTTGCTATAATTTGTTGTGAATTAGTTAATAGAGAAACTGTTTGGAATGGAGTTGAAAGAGAAGATGATGTTGATGGTTTGTATTAAAAATGATATTTGTACTTTACTAATTTGCAAACTTCCTTAGTTTAATCCTGAAAATGTCATTTGGTAGTAAATAAAGACCGATAATAAATCATAAACTCATATCATTCGACAGTAAAAAGAATATAATAAATCTAAGGCGAAATTCTAATACCTTCGAATAGTACACAAACGCCTGAAAAATTTTTCTCAAACCCTATTTACTCAATGAGTTTTGTGTCATCCAACACAGGTCTTTGTCTTTTAAATGAGATAATATATGACATTTTGCACAAATTTTGGGAATTTGTAAAAATGGAAAGTACCGGATATTTTATAAAAGCATAACTTTAAAGATATTCTACATCGTCTAAAGCAAATAAATACATCAATCCCACCAAGGCCTTTATTACGTAACAATGAAAATATCAATCAAAATTTGGTAAATACTAAATAATTTATTATTTTACGTATTATTTTCGATTTAGTTACATTTGATAAGGGATTGTTGGAATGAAAGGAATATTGAAAGGCCAAAAATGATTCAAGTTCGTTCAATGCTAAAACAAATGGTTAGGGATGGGAGTCAAAATTTAATGGATTATGTTTTTGGAATGTTAGAGCAATATGCAAGTTCTTTAGAACAAGAAGTTGAAGAAAGAACTAGAGAATTAGTTGAAGAAAAAAGGAAAAGTGATATTCTTTTATATAGAATGCTTCCAAAACAAGTTGCCGATAAATTAAAATTGGGGGAATTTGTTGAACCAGAACAATTTAGTGCAGCAACAATATTCTTTTCTGATGTTGTTTCATTTACAACATTAGCTAGTAAATGTTCTCCTTTACAGGTGTTGTTGAAGATTCTCTGTTTAAGGTAGAAATTCAAATAATGCAACAATTTAAGGTTGTAAATTTGTTAAATATGCTTTATACAACATTTGATGGAATAATTGACAGCCATGATGTTTATAAAGTTGAAACAATTGGAGATGGTTATTTAGTTTGTTCCGGAATCCCTCGTCGGAATGGAAATGATCATGCAAAGGCTATTGCTGAATTATCTTTTGCTTTTCTTCGTTCTGTTTCAAATTTCAAAGTTGACCATTTGCCAAATGAACGTGTTAATTTACGTATTGGAATACATACTGGTTAATAAATGAATTGTTAATTTCCTTAAAAAATATTTAAGGACCAGCAGTAGCTGGAGTTGTTGGATTGACAATGCCTCGTTATTGTTTATTTGGAGACACTGTAAATACAGCTAGTAGAATGGAATCTAATGGAAGACGTAATTTTATTATTTTCAATTTTAAATTTAAAAAAATATTTTTAGCTAGTAAAATTCATATTTCTTCCGAAACAAATAAATACTTAACAAATATAATTGGTGGCTATTTAACCGAGCCTAGAGGCGAAATAATTATTAAAGGAAAGGGAGTTATGGAAACATTTTGGCTTATTGGACATTCTAATGACCTTGATATTAACAATAATAATTCTTTTATGTGGAATGAACTTCCTACTATTAATGAGGATTTATTAAATAATGAAGAAGAATAATCCCTAATATTTAATTTTTGATGATCTCTATATTCTTTTTCTTAATAACCTCAATTCTTTCTTATTTGTATTTTTGATTTTATAATTAATTTAAAATATTAATAGAAACTTGATTATGCATTGAACTTGATAGTATATAATTAAGGGCAAATAGGATAAATATCTGTGAAATCGAAAAATAATATTGGCCAAGCAGTAATGCTTGTTTATTTAAGATGCCGTGCAGCAAATGTGTGTAGAACAGAACCAAAAAACAACTCTAGTAAGTATATTATAGATAAATGCGATAAAATGTTATTCGAAAAATAACATGATACATTTATAATTAATATTTATTCACAGATGTTACATTACAAATTTTAAAATATTTGTTTAAATTGGTTCTGGAGTCTCGACAACATCGCTTCGCAACCCTCCAAATGCTATATTGGAATCTCCAGAATGTCCAAGTAGCCAAAATGTTTCCATAACTCCTTTTCCTTTAATAATTACTTCTCCTCTAGGTTCAGTTACATATCCTCCAATTATGTTAGTTAAATAATGATTAGTTGTGGTTGATATATGGATACGTCCAGCTGTTGAGAGGGAAAAGAATAATTTATGAAAATTAAATTTATTTTTTTACGTCTTCCATTAGATTCCATTCTACTAGCTGTATTTACAGTGTCTCCAAATAAACAATAACGAGGCATTGTCAATCCAACAACTCCAGCTACTGCTGGTCCTTAAATATTTTTTAAGGAAATTAACAATTCATTTATTAACCAGTATGTATTCCAATACGTAAATTAACACGTTCATTTGGCAAATGGTCAACTCTAAATGTTGAGACGGTACGTAGGAAAGCAAATGCAAGTTCAGAAATTTCTTTAGCATGGTCATTCCCATTTTTCCGAGGAATTCCAGAACAAACTAAATAACCATCCCCGATTGTTTCAACTTTATAAACATCATGAGTGTCAATAATCCCATCAAATGCTGTGTATAATCCATTCAACAGATTTACTACCTAAATGTTTCGATATAAGCTATAAATTATTAATTTATTTGGTACTTATAGTTCTTCTGCTAAATTTTTTTTAATTTGAGCCTATTAGAGTGCGAACGAAGAATCAGTACTTTTCCCTAAGATAAATTTTTTATCACTTATAACTATTAACCTACCTAAATAGTGATTAATGTCTTGGGAATGAAACTTCCTTCTGTTGCCCTAGGAACATAACTGCTTAATTCAATTTAAAGGAAACTGGAATTGAACGTTCAGAGAAGATCTAAGTTGTTTGCAGCAATGTGGGGATAAATGGACTCGGATTTGGGGTTATTCTCTTAACTAACTCTATAATAATTCACCTGTAAAGGAGAACATTTACTAGCTAATGTTGTAAACGAAACAACATCAGAAAAGAATATTGTTGCTGCACTAAATTGTTCTGGTTCAACGAATTCCCCCAATTTTAATTTTTCAGCAACTTGTTTTGGAAGCATTCTATACAAAAGAATATCACTTTTCCTTTTTTCTTCAACTAATTCTCTAGTTCTTTCTTCAACTTCTTGTTCTAAAGAACTTGCATATTGCTCTAACATTCCAAAAACATAATCCATTAAATTTTGATTTCCATCTCTTACCATTTGCTTTAACATTGAGCGAACTTGATCAATCCTTGGACGTTCTGTTGGAAGTTCGCCCCAACAATCACGAATTAGAAGTAACTGTATATTTAATTAATTAAATAATTATAAGTATAATACCAAATTATTATTAACTTCTTCTCGAGGATGTAATTGTGGTCTATGTGGAACTGCAACATTTGTTCGCTTCAGACGATAAAAAATTTCTTTAAAATTTAAGATTTATTACTAAAAACATCTTCGTATTTTCTATTAGTAAACTGAGGGAAATATGTCTAACAAACTAAGGAATGTTTTGTATAATTGTATAGAGGATGTTGATTTCATCAAGACAATCAAATTAGAAACTCTTTCAAAAGGTAAAAACAGGGATAAACTCTCCCCTGAAATCGTCCCATGGCTACGCCCTTGTCACTAACAGGGTGGCCTTTTTACCCTATACACTGCGACGCAAAATTATACGTCCACCCCATTTTTTCGAAATTTTTTCACTTGTATTCTGCCAAAAATCCATACCATCTTGTTAGTTACTCATTAAAAGGTATCCTATATATAATCTTAGAGTTCTCTGTTTGTCCGCAGCTTTGAATTTTGCTGAGTTTGGCGTTGTGTTTATTTTTTTATTAAAAATGACAAAATATCCCAAAGTAAAAATAGTGTGTATTTAGAGAAGTAAAGAAAGAATGTGAATTTTTTAGAATTGTTTTTGTATTTTTTGCTGCATTTTTTTATTTTTGGATTTTTTTTTCTAATCAATTTTTTAAGTTTTTATTTTTTGATAGAAAAGTGAGGGAAGAGTTCCAGTAATGTTGAAAAGGAAAGGGCTCCGTAAATGGGTGAAATAGGTCTGGCAATGGTTGGAATAATGGTGAGCGAAAAGGGTCCTGTAAATGGATGAAAAGGGTCTGGAAATGGTTGAGGTGAACGAAAAAGTGTACTGTAACTGGGTGAAATAGGTCTGACACTGGTTGGAATAATGGTTAGCGAAAAAGGTCCCGTAAATGGGTGAAAAGGGTCTGACGATGGTTGGAATATGCGAAAACAGTCCCGTAACTGGGTGAAACAGGCCTGACAATCATTGGAATAATGGTGAGCGAAAAGGGTCCCGTAAATGGGTGAAATAGGTCTGGTAATGGTTGTAATAATGATGAGCGAAAAGGGTCCTGTAAATGGGTGAAAAGGGTCTGGCTATGGTTGGAATAATGGTAAGCGAAAACGGTTCGTAACTGAGTGAAATAGCTAGCGATGGTTGGAATAATGGTAAGCGAAAAAGGTCCCGTAACTGGATAAAAATGGTCTGGAAATGGTTGAGGTGATCGAAAAAGGGTCCCGTAACTGGGTGAAATAGGCCTGACACTGGTTGGAATAATGGTTAGCGAAAAGGGTCCCGTAAATGGGTGAAAAGGGTCTGTCGATGGTCGGAATAATGATAAGCGAAAAAGGTCCCGTAACTGTGTGAAAAAGGTCTGACAATGGTGGGAAGAAAAGATTTCGAGCAATAAGCAAGAGAAAAGTGTCTGTCAAACGACTTGAGAAAAGGGTTCGCCAGTAAACAAGATAAAAGGGTCCGTTAATAGGAAAGAGAAAATAATCGTTCAATAGGCTTGAGAAAACGGTCCCACACTGGGTGAGAAAAAAGCGGTAGTGATTGAGATAGAAGAGAATGACAACGGTTAAATGACAAGGGTTGTTAATAGTTGATAGTTAATGTTGTTAATAGTTGATAGTTAATAGTTAAAAATTAATATTTGAAGGTTGGTTAATAGTTAATAGTTGAAATAGATATTAATAGTTAATTGTTGAAAATTTAAAGTTTTAGTTAATAGTTGAATCAGTGTTAATAGTTAAGTGAAAATTAATAGTTAATAGTAGACATAGATATTAATAGTTAATAGTTTAAATTGGAAGTCTTAGTTAATAGTAGAATCAGTGTTAATAGTTAATATTTGAAAGTTGATAGTTAATAGTAGACAGATATTAATAGTTAATAGTTGAAAGTTAAAAATCTTAGTTAATAATTGAATTAAAGTTAATAGTTGACGAGTGAGGTTTTATTTATGAGGTGTTTTAATTTAAGTTTATGTAATGTTTGGAATTTAGCTAGCGGAAGGGGCTCGCCCGAAGGGCGACCCCCTCCGCTAGTGTATTTAAATTTTCAGAAAATTCGGACCAATACAAGTGAATAAATTTCGAAAAAATGGGGTGGACGTATAATTTTGCGTCGCAGTGTATGTATATAGAGGTCGTGGTCGACGACAGTCATCTTGACGTGGTCGTGGCCTACGACAGTCATCTTGACGTGGTCGTCGATCGTGGTCAACGACCGTCATCTTGACGTGGTCGTGGTCGTCGACAGTCATCTTGACGTGGTCGTCGATCGTGGTCGTGGTCAACGACGGTCATCTTGGCGTGGTCGCGACCGTGGTCGTGGTCAACGACCTACGACAGTCATCTTTGACGTCATCTTGACGTGGTCGCGACCGTGGTCGTGGTCAACGACGGTCATCTTGACATGGTCGCGACCGTGGTCGAGGTCAACGACGGTCATCTTGACGTGGTCGCGACCGTGGTCGTGGCCTACGACAGTCATCTTGACGTGGTCGTCGACCGTGGTCGTGGTCAACGACGGTCATCTTGACGTGGTCGCGACCGTGGTCGTGGCCTACACAGTCATCTTGACGTGGTCGTCGACCGTGGTCGTGGTCAACGATGGTCTGCTTGACGTGGTCGCGACCGTGGTCGTGGTCAACGACAGTCATCTTGACGTGGTCGTTGTCGTAGACAGTCATCTTGACGTGTCGTGGGCGATGACAGCCAAATTTGGATATCTGAACTAGAACGGATCGAGACGTGATCTCGAACGAAAATCTCGGATATCGAGATCGAGTTTTCTCGAGACATCTCGTACGATTGTCTTGCGATAAAAATTTCAGTTTTTCGAGATTTTTCAAGATTCGAGACGACACTCGCAATCCAGTCTCTAATCTTTTTTTGATTTACATATATGTATTTATTTAGATACAGCTTCATCTTGATCTGCTCAATTTAGTTAAAACTATTCGAAAACATGCGGAATAAAGATTTTTATTCAAAATTTTAATTATTTTTATATTTTTAAAAAAAAATCCCTATTTTTTGCCCTACTTTTGACCAATTTCGCCCTATTTTTTCCCTATTTTTGAGTACCTGCGCCCTATTTTAGTGGTTTGGAAAAGGCCACCCTGGTCACTAATAATCCTTCGATATCACACTAAATCTCTCAAATAGTTATACATAGATTTCTATCAGCGCCGCAGGCGAAAATTTTGAAAATTAACGAAGGTCAGAAGCCATTTACTTCCTTTTTCAGCGTCTCAGGCGAAAAGTTAAAGAAATTTGGAAGGCCATGAAGCTAGATTTCCTCTTTTTGTGGTGAAAAGTTTCATAGAAAAAGTCGGGTTTCGGGTCGAAAAAAGTTGGGGTTTCGGTAAACGCCATCCCTGGTACAAATATCACTTTCAAAACAAACCATCAACATCATCTTCTCTTTCAACTCCATTCCAAACAGTTTCTCTATTAACTAATTCACAACAAATTATAGCAAAACTATAAACATCTCCTTCTTTTGTTCCTTTTCGATTATTTTCTCTTAATAATTCTGGTGCTGTCCACAATAATTCTTAAAAAATAATCGAGATTTATAAAATTATATTCTTTTTTACTTCTTTTTGACATTGGTTGACTTTCTCTAATCATATTCAATCCAAAATCGCTAATCTTTACTTGCCAACGATCATTAATTAAACAATTCTCTGAAGAAAGCATTCCATGTGCTCCAATAAATGACCCGTGTAAAGCTATTAATCCACTAGCTATATCCCTCATTAAAGTAAACATCACAAAAGAATCACCGACATATTGCTCTTTGGCAATTAAATCCTTTAAACTCCCTCTCTGACAATATTTCCAAATTCCATACAAAATAGGTGCATCTGTACAAACCCCACAAAATTTATTTAAATTATCATGATCTAATTGTTTTATCTTTAAATATTTAAATTTATTTTTTTTTTAAATCTCTAATTACACCTTTCTTAATTGTGTCAAATCTTCATTAAATATTCTAACTCTAACTTGATATTTAATTCCAAAAACAACTTCTCTATTATACAAAAAATGTGAATAATTTTCTGTTTCCAATTTTTTATTGTCCATGCTTGATAATTTTGTACTACTTCCTCCTTTAAATTAAATTTCTATTTAATTTAAATTATTCAAATAACCAGATTGACTGCTTTGTAAACTTTTCATGCTTTTATTTAATTCCAAACTTTTAACATCTTCTGTACTTTGCATTTCTTTTAAATTGCCTAATTCACAGAATGGAATTATACATTCACGTGTTAAACGGTCTTTTTCACGCATTTTTTCACTTAAAAATTAATTTTTTGGCAACAATATTAAAATTGTTTTTGTTTTTTAATTAGTTATAATATCAGGGCTTTTTAATTCTTTCTATAAATTTCAATCAGATTTTATATTGATGTTATAGAGACCAGAATCAATCCCAAAAATAGCAAAAAATCTGAATTGGAAGAATCTGAAAGTCCCTCATTATAAGTTATTTTTACACACAACCATCCCTTCATGTCGGATGAGTTTCTCTACTTTAGCACTAGGGAAGGGAGGAATCTTAGCCATTCTTACACAGGAATTTTTTGTGAGTGGTCTTCGATGTTTATTTAACGTTGTATAACAAATAATTTTTTTTAAATTCCAAAAAAATATTTAACTACTAACCGAACAGCATAACCAATTCCACCTAAAGTAGCTACTAACAATAACAAAACCAAACCAACACCAATTAATATATATGTTGTTATATTTTGTGGACATTCTGTCCCAGTATATCCACATATTGGTTTATATAAAGGTCTCTTTCCTCCTCTATTTGCCCAAATAACGGATTCGTCGTTGTAATTTTTAGTTATTTGCTTAAATTTAAAAATAAATTTATTTATTTAAAATTAATATTACTAGTGTATTATTTGTAAAAGAAAGTTGCATTAAACTATTTGGTTGATCAGAGATATCCAACATTGTAACAACAAATATTGGTTCTCTATTTCCATAATCATCTAAAATAACATCTCCTGTCTCCCCTTAAATTATAATTATTTATATTTTTTTAGAATTTTATTTAACCTTTAAAACTTCCTTTACTCATATTATTAATTAAAGTTCCATTTCTTGCCAAATCTTTTGTTAAATAACCAAATTGTTCTGCCGTTCTGTTTAATGCCCTTAGATAAGCATATGTTGTATCATGTAAACTTCGAGAATATGAGGAGGGCTTAAACATTATTTTTATTATTTACAGAGATTTAACAGATAATATTGTAAGGTCAAAGGTATTCCCTGAGTTTGTTTCCTATAGTTTAGATCCTTTATTGTTATTTTATTCCCTCTCCTTCTCTCACGCATTTTTCTCTCACATTATGTGCTTGATCAGCCCTTGAGTTTATCCTAGGAAGTCCCGGGCATACCCCCCCCTCAATTATACCATTATTCTGGGGTTACTATATTTTTTATTATATACAAAAATCAAACAATTCGATCATTAGGTCCACCCATACATTCGTTTATACAATTGAAGGGGGGCTTTCCAAATTCGGATGTCATTTGTGACATAAAAGCATCAATCTGTGAACTAGATTCATTTTCCAAATCAATCTGTTTAATAAAAAGAATTTTCATTTAAAAATCAAAAATTATTTTCTTTACAATAATTGATCTTCTTGCAGCTTTCAAAGCATCTCCATCACGTCCATCGTCAACTCCGGTTGTTGTCATCCAAAAATTATTATATTTCGAAACATTTGTGCCAGCACTTACTTAAATATAAACAAAAAAATTTGATTAATTTAAAATTTATTGTTTGCCTTGTTGTAACATTCCAAGATTTCTTAACTGTGCAAATATAAATACATATTCATTACTTTGAGATATTCCCGTATCAGTTATTGCTAACAAAAAATCTCTTCTTGTTGAAACATTATCTATATTGGCTATTACAACTGTTAAAATGACGAGAGAAAAATTATTTTAAAATATTTTATTTCAAGTACTTCTTGAACGATTCCCTAATTGTAAAAGTGTGCTTTTCATATTTTCAGATGTTGGTAACATTTGTTGATTATACACAATTGTTAAATTTGGATTTAAATTTACTATACTTTCAAAATCCTGCGGAAAATAATATCCAACTCTAAAAAATTAATTTTGTATCAGGGTAAAAAATAAAAATATTTGATAGCTTTAACTACTCGCCTTCGAACATTATCAGGAATATAAACGAGGGATACTTCAGACCATTGAAATTGCATAAGAATAGCTTCGACTGCTTGAGCAAGGCTATAAATTTATTTAAGAATAATTTGTAAATAATTAATTTTATTTACATTTTTGTATCAGTATTAATATTAGTACATGTCGGATAAACAGAAACATTTGCGAGAGCAGTAGCAACAGTGGCACCCCATAAGAAAACAGGAATATTATAAAATCCTGGGACCAAACTTGAATCAATTGCCGCTTAATTGAATAAAAATTAATTTATTCCCAGCAATAGGTGGAAATATCTGGTAGTTTCGTCAGCGAACAGTTTCGAGAAGGGAAGTTAGGTGCTAACATCTGACAAGACAGGGCCGTGCTAACCTCAGAAAAGGTTAATAATATTTAGAGGTAGTCATCGTTCCCAGAAAATAATTTAAGTTTATTTAGAATAAAATAATCCGACATTAATATAGAATTGATGGTAATTAAGAAAAGTATACCTGTAACACAAGGAGGCCCAATAACAACATCAACATCTTGGTCAAGAATTAATTTATTAGAATATCCAACAGCAAGTACTTGATCACAATCACAAATTAACCAAGTAAATCTACAAAAATAAAAAAAATATACTTTAATAAAATTAAAATTCTCTACGTAAAATTAACAAAATCAATTAAATGTTCATTTCTAGCCCTTTGTATAGCAATAGAAATTGCTGGAACACTTTGTCCAAAACCATAAGCAGATCTTAATTCACTAGAATTAGCCCCCAATATTCCAACTTTAAGCAAAAGTTGTGTTGATGTTGTTGTTGAAGATATATTTATTGGTTGTGGGGATGTTGTTGTTGTTTTAGGGGTTGTTTGTGTTGTTGTTTGGAGTGAATTGTTTTGACAAACAAAAATATTTAAATTTATTAGAAAAATAAAAAAACAAAAGAAGCAGGTCATACTTTTTTTATTAGGATTATTTTATTTAAGGAATTCAACTTTTATTAAAATTTAAATAGAATAAAATAAAAGGAAGTAAATTCATTTTTATTTTTTTTAAATTTATAACTTTGAAAAATGACATTTAAATTAAAGAAGCCCTAAATATTAAAATTACCTTTGTTTTGTTACTATTTATGTATATATAAATGATTTTGTTTTTTAAAAATTTCTAAAGGATTCAATTTTTAATTCGGCAAATACGCCAAAGCTGAACTTTTGTAAGGGAAAAGTACTTAAATAATAGAACAATTGACGCTTATTTTATGAGTAAATATTAAATCTTAAAAAATAAATTTCACAAAAAATAATCTTAAATATTCTTATTGGCTAATTTTATAAATTGAAGCCAAAAAATTCGTAAAATACGTAAAAATAGATAATAATTACAGTATGCATATTTATATTTTATTTTTTAAAGTAACAATTGCCGTGAAAAAATTTTATGTCCATGTTGTTTTAGGTTTATCGGAACAGTTCAACTGAGTCCCGGCTCAATTGAGTCCCGGCCCTATAACTCAAGTACGGGTTGATGATTTTTAATGTTTTTGGAACCATTTGATAGAGCATTAGATGGACTACAATATACCAAAAAATCAGAATTTTTGACCAACTGATAAAAAAGTTATGATCTAAAAACTAACTTTTTCAAAAAAATCTGATTTTTCGGCACTTTATAGATCATAACTTTTTTACCAGTCGGTCAGGAATTTTGATTTTTTGGTATATTGTAGCCTATTTAATTCCCTATCCAAAGGTACCAAGAGCAAAAAAAGTGACCATCCCTTCATAAGTTATAGGGTCCGGGACTCAATTGAGTCGGGACTCAATTAAGGTGTACCGTAGGTTTATGATTCTGTTTGATTTCCTTCTTAATCCCCATGATAAAATATTATTCATTGATATGCCACTCGGAGCCAACTAACGACTCCTTCGCCGATTCCTAGACCGGAGCCATGCTGTGAAAAAGAGCCGAAGCCATAAAACGCCGAATACCCTGGTAATAATTAAGTAAATTTATTTATTAATCATGTTAAACTTTTCGTTTAAATTATACCGTTTCCTTTAAATTTTTAAATAAATATTCTACATTTATCACTTTATGTGGGTGTATTTGTTAGTCAGATTATCTAAATAATGACATTTGATGTGGATTAATTAAAAGACTATCTTATCTGTCATCCAGGAAGAAAATATTCTCTATGATTATTTTCAATTTTATATACTGTACTTTAATTAAAAATATTTAAATTTTTAAACAATTGAAAGAATACTTACAATTCGTTTAGATTTTTTATGAAAATTTTAGAATAAATATTTATTTAATCTATTTTTAAATGTCTCATAGATATAAAATTAAGATTCCACAGTCATATCCAGATTTGAATTTACAGAGAGGTTGCCTACCTTTTGGATATTTTGGATTAAATTTAAAAAAAGAAACCCTTAGAGAAAATTAAAATTTATAAAATATGAAATCTTTTAAATATTTAAGTATCCATTTTTAAATGTTATTTTTGAACAGAAAAATAATTAGGATTAAAATCCTTTGAAGAATTTTGTGAAGGTTTTCAATCCTTTACTTGGCATTTTCGCAGTTTATAAATTCATTGGAAATTTTTAAACAAAATATTACAAATAAACTTCAAATTTATGATAACTTTTCTTATTTATCTCCTTTTTTTAAAATTTAACTTGGATGGAGTTTTATGTCAAAATATTTCAAATAACTCTTTACTAACAACTAACAGTATTTCAACAACAACAACAACAATTATAGCAACAACAACAACACAATCAACCCCACATATAGCTTCTTCCCCTTTGCCACAACTTCAATTAAAAATTGGTTTGCTAGGAGCAAATGCTAGTCAGTATAGATCTGCTTATGGTTTTGGACAAAGTGTTCCAGCAATTTCTATTGCTATACAAAGGGCTAGAAGTGAACAATTAATTGGTTTTGTTAATTTTACGTAAAGAATTATTTAATTATTTTTTAAATTAAATATTTTCTATTTAAAGATTTACTTGGTTAATTTGTGATTGTGATCAAATACTTGCTGTTGGATATTCTAATAAATTAATTCTTGATCAGACTGTCGATGTTATTATAGGACCTCCTTGTGTTACATGTAAATATTCTTTTAAAATACGGCCTAATATCAGGGCTATCAGCAATTACGGCTGCGGAAAATTTTTTTCAATTGCGGACAGCCCTGCCTATCATTCCCTCAGTTTTTAGATTGATCTTTAAAAATCACATTTATTACTTCGACTAATTTTAAATTCTAAATTATTAAATTATCTAGATAACTAAATATTTGGTTGTTTTATCAATTAAATATAAAAAATATTTTTTATTCATTTTTATTATTTAGCGGCACTCGACGCGGCATTGCCTCCAGGCTTCTATAGTTTGCCTATTTTCCTTTGGGGAGCAACAATTGCAACATCATTAAACGATATTAGTATATACCCGACTGTAACAAATATTAATACAAATACGTTATTGTTCGTATTATGTCTTTAACAATTTAAATCTCTTAAAAATTTAAGTCTCGCGCATGCGATTGAGGCAATATTGTTACAATTTCAATGGTATGAAGTGTCTCTAGTCTACATTCCAGATGATATTCGAAGGTAAGTAAATGATAAGAATATTTATTAGTTAATGGAAGATACGTATACCTTTATTTGGTATTTGAATATTCTTAACTTTTTTTTTGCTTTTTACGATTTTCGAAGATTTTTGTTTTAAAAGTGCTCTGATTCCTTTGAAATTATTTGAATATAAATATAACACACATAAAAATTAAAACTTTTAGAGTTGGTTATTTTTTCCCACAAGATTTTCAAACTGTTGTTAATGCAAATCCAAATTTAACTATTGTATATAATCAACAAATGGCTGCAACAAATGCAAGCATGCACAATGCTCTTACTCAAATAAAAAACCGATCAAGAAGTAAAATAAAATATCTTAAAATAATTTTTCTCTCGTCTTTTTACAGTTGTAATAGCCAATATAGATAATGTTTCAACGAGAAGAGATTTTTTGTTAGCAATAACTGATACGGGAATATCTCAAAGTAATGAATATGTATTTATATTTGCACAGTTAAGAAGTCTTGGAATGTTACAACAAAGTAAAAAATATATTTTGGTTAAAACTTATTTTGGTATAAATTTTTAAATATTAAAGTAACTTCCAACTCAAATATATCAAAATTTGATGATTTTTGGAAAACACCAACCGGAGTTGATGATGGACGTGATGGAGATGCTTTGAAAGCAGCAAGAAGGACAATTATTGTAGAAAAAAATAATTAAAATAATTTGCTTGGTTTAATTTTAAAGGTTGACTTAGAAAATCAGTCAAACTCTGATATTGATGCATTTAATGCTAAAGTAGTTGCTGAATTTGGAAAGCCTCCCTTTAATTGTGTAAATGAATGTATGGGTGGACCTAATGACCAAATTGTTTTTTAAAAATATTTTTTAATTAAAATAATTATTAAAGCCTGCTTCATATGCTCGAAGTTTACACGATACAACATATGCTTATTTAAGGGCATTAAATAAAACAACAGAAAAGTTTGGTTATTTAACAAAAGATTTGGCAAGAAATGGATCTTTAATTAATAATATGAGTAAAGGGGAATTTCAAGGTACAGTGGGTTATAGTATTGTTGCGCCCCGAACGCTCGGGGGCGGTCCGGGGTTTTCGAATTGTTTCGGGGCAGGGTGTGGGGTCGGGGAGCAAAGTATAGTCGGGGAACGGGGTTCTTAGAATTTTTTAGAGAAAGGATGGTCGAAAATAATTCGCTTTTGGGCTATTTTTGTTAGTTTATTCAAAAATTAAGGAGAATTTTGAGGAATCAAAGAGGATTTCAAAGGAAAAAATGGTTTGTCTGTGGATATAAGTGAATTCAGAGTGATTGAAAGTCATTTGAGAGGATTAAATAGTAGATCTGTAGATATACTTTTCTTTCAAAAATAATAATGTAAAAGTAAAGTGGGAGGAAATTTTCTGATTTATTTTTCTTAAAATTCCCCTAAAAATTGGCATTTTATGGGATGTATACCTCGAAACTTTTTCAGGCCGGAGGACGGGGTTTTGAATTGTTTCGGGCGGGGATGTATACCTCGAAACTAAAAAGGAAAATCTAAAAAAATCGTTCAGGGAACGGGTCGAGGTACGGGGAACGGATCGGGGCGCAACTCTAGTTGTCAGATTGAACTTGCTGTTCCAATATTGGAGAGCTTCATTAAATAATAAAATTATTTTAGGAGAAACCGGTCAGATTATTCTTGATGACAATGGGAATCGGCAACCAAATTTCTTCGTAACAATGTTAGATGTATCTGATCAAGCAACTGTTGTAATGAATATTACAGTTATAGGGGGAGTTGCAGTGAGTAAATAGAAAATAAAGTAGTACTACTAATTTTTATTAAAATTTTCGAATCTGGTAAAAAGATATACGAATGAGACTGGATTGTGGGCAAATAGAGGAGGTAAAAGACCTTTATATAAACCAATATGTGGATATACTGGGACAGAATGTCCACAAAATATAACAACATATATATTAATTGGTGTTGGTTTGGTTTTGTTATTGTTAGTAGCTACTTTAGGTGGAATTGGTTATGCTGTTCGGTTAGTATTTAAATATTTTTGGAATTTAAAAAAAAAATATTTTTTAAAGAGAAAAATTAAAAGAAAAGGAACGTTTAACTAGAGAATGTTTAATACCTTTTGGAGAATTAAAAAATATAAAAGAATTAAAAAGTAATGAAGATATGAGAAGTTTAGAAGCAAATAAAAGTTTAAAAAGTTTACAAAGTAGCCAATCTGGCAGTACAAAATTAACAAGTATGGATGATAAAAAATTGGAAACAGAAAATTATGTTCATTTTTTATATAATAGAGAAGTTGTTTTTGCTATTAAATATCAAGTTAGAGTTAGAATATTTAATGAAGATTTTGTACTTTTGAGAAAGGTAAAAATTTATGATTTTCCACCTACGATTTTTTGCTATTTTTAAATGTTTAATTATATAAAGATGAGTTAAAAAATAAGTAATGACGATATAAGAGAAAAATACATAGAAAAATACAAAAATTCATAAAATACAGACAGCCCCATGGGGCTGTATTTTTCAACAATCCTCCAGACGGGCTGTAGTGGGGCTCTATTGCTATGGGGCTCTATTTTTCAACTATGTTTTTTCTACCTAAAATTAATTCCTACTGACTATGGTCAACACATATCGGAGGAGGATGTACAAGAGATACATAAAGGTCTGTGCACCGAATCTGTAGCACCTAATCTGCGGACAATTAAAATAGTCACCAGTCCAGTCTTTAGTATTGGGGATATTAGTGTGGAGAGATATCGGGTGATTATTGGGATATTGAGGAATTTTATGGATTAAAGGAAATTTGGTATATCTTTGGAAGTCTACCATGAACCGTGTCATAAATTTAACAAATTTGGGAATATAAAATAAAAGTTAAATAACAAATAAGTTTTTAGCTTCGCCAGTTAGATCATGATAATTTAAATAAATTTTGTGGACTTTGTACAGATGCTCCAATTTTATATGCAATTTGGAAGCATTGCCAGAGAGGGAGTTTAAAAGTTATTTTTTTAGAAAATAAAAATAAAATTGAAATTAAAAAAGGATTTGATTTCCAAAGAGCAATATGTCGGTGATTCTTTTGTGATGTTTACTTTAATGAGGGATATAGCTAGTGGATTAATAGCTTTGCACGGGTCATTTGTTGGAGCCCATGGAATGCTTTCCTCAGAGAATTGTTTAATTAATGATCGTTGGCAAGTAAAGATTAGCGATTTTGGATTGAATATGATTAGAGAAAGTCAACCAATGTCAAAAAGAAGTAAAAAAGAATATAATTTTATAAATCTCGATTATTTTTTAAGAATTATTGTGGACAGCACCAGAATTATTAAGAGAAAATAATCGAAAAGGAACAAAAGAAGGAGATGTTTATAGTTTTGCTATAATTTGTTGTGAATTAGTTAATAGAGAAACTGTTTGGAATGGAGTTGAAAGAGAAGATGATGTTGATGGTTTGTAGGAAATAAATACAAATTAGTTGATCTTTTTTTAAGAAATTATTTATCGCCTAAGACGAACAAATACAGCAATTCCACACAGACCTCAGTTGCATCCAAGGGAAGAAATCAATCAAAATCTCGTAAAAATTAAAGATAAACTCCAAATAAATAATTTTACAGATCCATTTAATACGAGACTGTTGGAGTGAAATTCCAACAGAACGTCCAAGAATTGATCAAGTCAGAACAATGTTAAAACAAATGGTTAGGGATGGGAGTCAAAATTTAATGGATTATGTTTTTGGAATGTTAGAGCAATATGCAAGTTCTTTAGAACAAGAAGTTGAAGAAAGAACTAGAGAATTGGTTGAAGAAAAAAGAAAAAGTGATATTCTTTTATATAGAATGCTTCCAAAACAAGTTGCCGATAAATTAAAATTGGGGGAATTTGTTGAACCAGAACAATTTAGTGCAGCAACAATATTCTTTTCTGATGTTGTTTCATTTACAACATTAGCTAGTAAATGTTCTCCTTTACAGGTGAATAAATCTCTTAACTATTATAGAGTTAGTTAAAACAATTAACCCTAATCCGAGTCTATTTATCCTCACATTGCTACAAACAACTTTGATCTTCTCTGAACGTTCAATTCCAGTTTCCTTTAGATTGAATTAAGCAGTTATGTTCCTAGAGCAACAGAAGGAAGTTTCATTCCCAAGAGATTAATCATTATTCAAGTGATTTTCGATAAAATTATATTTCAGGGAAGAGTACTGATTCTTAGTTCGCACTCTATTAGGCAAGAATTTTAGATACCGGATTAAATAGTCAACACTCTTCTATAAGAGTGTAATTGCCCTCCCTTATTAATTACTCGCTCCAACGGAAAGTCAAAACAATAATTACGCAGGGTAGTTAATAAAAGTTTTACGGTAAGGGCTATAAAATAAATTAATAATTTATGCTTATATCGAACATTTAGGTTGTAAATCTGTTAAATGGTTTGTATACCGCATTTGATGGGATAATTGACAGTCATGATGTTTATAAAGTTGAAACAATTGGAGATGGTTATTTAGTTTGTTCTGGAATTCCTCGGAAAAATGGGAATGACCATGCTAAAGAAATTTCTGAACTTGCATTTGCTTTCCTACGTACCGTCTCAACATTTAGAGTTGACCATTTGCCAAATGAACGTGTTAATTTACGTATTGGAATACATACTGGTTAATAAATGAATTGTTAATTTCCTCAAAAAATATTTAAGGACCAGCAGTAGCTGGAGTTGTTGGATTGACAATGCCTCGTTATTGTTTATTTGGAGACACTGTAAATACAGCTAGTAGAATGGAATCTAATGGAAGACGTAAAAAATAAATTTAATTTTTATAAATTATTCTTTCTCAACAGCTGGACGTATCCATATATCAACCACAACTAATCATTATTTAACTAACATAATTGGAGGATATGTAACAGAACCTAGAGGAGAAGTAATTATTAAAGGAAAAGGAGTTATGGAAACATTTTGGCTACTTGGACATTCTGGGGATGCTAATATAACATTTGGAGGAAGTGATGTACCTGAAAGAGCAAGCCCTGATCTTTCATGAACATATTAACGGAATATACATTTTGTAATTTCAATTATTTTACAATTGTATTTGACATTCTGGTGCCTATTTCAATTGTCTGCAAATTCTGTGCCACAGATTCTGCGGGAAAAATCGACCGCAGATTATGCTTAAACTCCCCACAACCTAGGGAAATATACAGATTTAGAAAACATCCAAAAACTTGCCCCAAATTCTGCGGAAGCTTTTGCAGAATTTTCGGGGAAGAATCTGGGCACCTGAATTTAATTGCAACAGAATGTCAAAGCTTTGATCAAATTTTTCAAATACTTTTTTGATTAATAAAGGAATGGAAAATCAAATTATTTTATCAAATAACAAATAATTAGAAAATATTTTATATTTAGACGGGTATCGGAGAATAAAAGTTGATATCGATGGAATAAGAGGAATCAAGGAGGATATGAATAGGCTTTGATTGTTAAATTGGGTTTAAGATGATTTGGGAATTAAGAAGGATATCAGGGGATTTGTAAAGAAAGGTTATATATGGCAGGGCTGTGCGTCATGGCGTTTGGCGTTTGGCGTTTTGCGTTTTGGCGTTAATTTTGGCCGATTTTTGGCGTTTTGCGTTTGGCGTGATTTTCCGATTTTGGCGCGCCAAACGCCAAAAATATACACCCCTAATGATGGAATTTTTTTAAAATAAATGGAGAAAGGGATGATCGAAAAAGGAACTTTTTCTGCGTACAGTCATCAAAAATTCTCAAAATTTTTGCCTGCGGCGCATAAAAAATGAAGAAATCTACTGCTTGGACTTCCAAAATTTAAAAATTTCAAAAAGCCCTTATCTTATACTAATAGATGGAAGAAGTAAAACTTTAGTCCCGTCAATCGTTTACTCTCTTCATGACCTCTGTTATACTCATAACTCCCTTTATCCCTTCATATCCACCTTAATCTCAAGGAGTTCTATGAATTTCTTATTTTTTAAATTTTCTAAAGGATGAATTTCAGCTTCTTTGCCTCCAAAATTCTCAAAAATTTCGCTCCGGCGGTAAAAAAGGATGAATTCTGGCTTCTGGGAAGCTTGAAAATTCAAAAAATTTCGCCTGCGGCGCTAAAATGATATGAACAGTGGGTTTTAAGTCTAAAAATTTTGGCGTTTGGCGTTTGGC